GCCCCCCCCCCGACCCCTGGAGACTGCTCCAGCCTTCTCCCCCTCCCCCGGCCAGTGCCTTCCCCGAGGCTGGAGACTGTTCCAGCCTGCCCCTCCCCCCCAGGCTGGAGACTGCCCCTGCCCACACACACCCTGCCAGTGCCCCCCTGAGCCTGGAGACTGCCCCCCCTCCCACCTGCCCTGTGCCCTCCTGAACCTGGAGACTGCCTCCATCCTGGCCAGTGCCTTCCGAGCATGGAGACTGCTCCTACCTCAGCCCCCTGTTCCCTTCTCCCCTGAGTATGGAGACAAGTCTTGTGCCAGTGACCCCAGAACATGGAGACTGCTCCCTTGCCAGTCTTCTCAGCCAGTGTCACCCGCAGTATGGAAATTGCCCCCTCCTCTGTTATTCTCCAACCTCTTCCCTACAGACATGCAGAGCTAGGAAGTAAATTCTTCTGCTTCCCCAGATCCCCATCACACTCTGTTTAGGAGCTCAACTCAAATCCTTACCCCTAGCAGAATTCCTCCTTTTGTAGAAAACATGTGTATACTCCACCCCCATAGGAATTGGGCCCCAGTTGCCAAAAAATCCCTCCCTGTTCTTCCACCACTCTCTTTCTGTCTTCCCTGCCATGGAATAGATGAGTCCCCCTCTGGGATGTCTTCACCTGTAGCTGGCATCAGGTATCACTCTCCCCATGACCAGACCTTTCGTTTCTTCCTGAACTGGCTGACACTTACTAGGCATTCCAGAGGCAACACTCCTAGAAAACACATACTTACTTTGTTCATGCCCTAACATTTTTTTAAAAACATTTAACGTTTTTTAAAACACTAATGGTCCTGTCCTGTCCTGCCCTGTCCTGTCCCACAGAAGTTGTCTTAAGACTGTGGAAGGCTTAATGTTAAAGGGAGGCATCTAGTTATTTTGAAGTATATTGTACAGATGTTGCTGAAATGCCTTTAATCACTCGTAGGCAGCATCTCCTGGTTTGTCCAGTGATGTGGAGCAGTTCCTTACAGTGTAAGGAAGCCACTTGCATGTTAACAACTTGCAAGGAGGTAACATCTGTCTTACTGGATAATTAATTAGCCAGTACTTATAGTGACTGGAATATGCAGTGCACTATATGTGTTAAGTTTTTGTATATAGTTACGGTTGAATTCTATTTTCTATTCTAATCCTTTTTGTTTGGTTGCTCATAATGTTAAAACTAATTCCTGAGGTGCTGAAATTTTCATGGCTTGCTCTCAATCTGGAGGTGATTTAATCTGTTTTTGGAAAAACTGAACAAAATTGGGTGCATTATTTTTAAGTTTTTAATCAAAAAGTTTGTATATGGGCTAATTCAATGACTAAAAATATAACAAACTTAGCTTGGTTTGTAGATCTCATTGAGATAGAAGGAACAGAACAAGTTTGAAGAATATTGGTTCAGTAATTTTAAAGTTAAAAGCATGTAAATAGGGAAACTTTGTGCATGCTTAGTAGAATTTTGCTGTACATCTTGACAGATGGCTCCAAAAAGATACAGCTCTTAAATGTTGGCGTGCTGAAGCACTTTCAAAAGTCAAAATTACTTCTCAATAATACATTAATTTTGGCTAACTGTGCACCTGTGCTTAATGTATTGCTTTCAGCATGCTTTGTGCTGGAAATGTATTAAAAATTGTGTAAGATTTTATTTTTGGCATTTGTAGAGATCATCAAGGACAAGATAGTGTTCTTGGTTTTGCTTGATCTTTAAGTAATAAGCAACTATTGTAATTGTTGAAAGATTGTTAAATTAACTGGATACAGATATCTAAGAACCTTGGATGGTAGGTGCAACCTTTATGGAAAAGGAAGACTGGGGTATGTCATGAAATAAAGGAATTTGGGGCATTTTCCTGTCCATGATAAACAGCGATATAAATAGAAGTAGAAGTGAGGTAATGCTTTGGAACAGAATGAAGATGTAACTTATGCAAAACCTGTTCTTCAGATAGGTAAAGTATTAACTCATTCCTTTCTGTATATGCTGCTGAATCTTTGACTAATAATCTTTTGATTACTAAGCTTGCATAAGCTTTGGTTATTTGACCTATCATAACACTGATCATCTAAAACTGAACCCTAACAGAAACTATTTAAAGCCTGAGAATGTGTAGTGTTAGAGATGGTGGAGAGTTTGAGATGGCCTTGTTTTGATTTTCACATTTGAAAAGCAGTTGGGGCTAAGACATCTGAGTTCAGAAGGCATTGTACAGCACGTAACAGAGGGCTTGGGGATTGGAGCTTCTGGGCACTACTGTAATAACAATATTATTAAATATTTATTAATGTGTCTAGCAAATTACGTTTTCAACAGTCAATGATGTGCCCTTGTCTCATTGAATAAGGTATCCAGTGAATGAAGCAAGACTCCATAGGAGGCCTTGCTTTAATGATTGTGCACCTTGTGCAGGATAAGACATTCTGATTGTGCTTAGACAAATAGTTTCAGATTATAATTTAAAAAAAAAATCTAGGTAATTCCTTTAACAAAATCTTGGTGAGAGTGTTAAAGATTGCAGGTAAATTCTCAGAAGTCAGGAAATGCTGGTTCTTGCTTGGATTATTTAGTGCAAAAACTAACTTGGGAGTGAGAATATTTGTAAAAATATACTTGGCCTGGTCTTCCTTTGTTGTTGTTGAAGATGGTTTTTATTTTTTTTACTCTGCCAAGCTGTTTGGCATCCTTATATTGCTATGGAAAATATTTTGATGATGTCATAAACAAAACCATATGACTTAATTGCAACATCAAATAGGAGAAGATGAGTTGAGAGAATTGCCCCTTGTTTAGACATAACTCTTGTATTATTAACAAGCCAGTGATGCAAATGATAGAAAAATGTGATAAGTAGATTTATAGTTAAGATAATTAAAACTTTCTCCAGTATGCATATTAATTAATGTTCATAAGGAATGGCATAAAATGAAGGAAACTAATTCATTTTTAAGCCAATAGACTTCCCTGGCTAAGTCAGCAAGATACAAAACACGCATGCATAGCAGTTTTGTTTGTTATCTGGGGAATCTTACTAAATTTTTCTTTTTCACTCACACTTCATGTTCTCTCAAAGTCCATATCAGTGCTGGGCTTCACTGTTACGGAACCATGTTCAAACATATTTCAGCAAAGCCCACAGAAATGAACTTGTCAGAGTTCAGTAGTGTTGTTCTTTGGCCCAGTTACAGCCCAATTCCATTTTGTAGTGGAGACCTATGCAACGACTTAACCTGGTAATGGAATTCAGATAACTGAAATTTAAGGTCTTGTCTAAGTTACATAACCAAGACAAGCTGTAAACTGGTCCCCAGATGTGGTGAGATTGACGGTGTAGACTGGCCCTGAATTAATTTCTGTCATGATTTGGTCACCATTATGACTCTTCACATGGTGGTGGTGGCTCTTTAATCTTAGGTTTTCTAAAAACTTAAATAGTAAGTTAAGTATTTAACATATACATCATATTCTCTCACCTGTCCTCTTACTTAACATATACATCATATTCTTATTTAACATATACATAACTTATTTAACATATACATCATATTCTCTCACCTGAGTGATCTCTTACTCTGTACTTAGTCCCATTAATTTCAATAGGGCTGCTTGACAAGCAAGGTACACCCCAATGTGTGGACAGTGGTGGCAGAATCTGACTTACAGTTTACATAGTCTAATACAAGGGATCCTGAAACTTTTCAGTGTGGCCTATATCCTATTAGAAAAATTCTCATAGACCACCACTTCCTTTCCATTTATGGTTATGTAAGGTCACAGTGTCAAGTACAGAAACTGGTATCAGGAAAAAAAAATAGAAAAAAGTTTTTAATTGCGTTGTAATGCAGTTTAGCATCTGGAAGCAAGGCATGGACCACCAGCAAATGCTTCAGGGAAAAGCAGTGGTACGGTGACTACAATTTGGGCACCAGTGAAGGCACAGGGATGTTAAAGTTGTTGAAGATTTAAGATCCCTGTAATATTCAAATTAACTTGTGATATTTCAGCCAGTTTTTAAGAATAGGTGGGCTATCTTAAAATTCATAATTAAGAAAAGTCTACTACTTTTAAATATAGCTGATTTATTGTATGGTATTAGTGAGGATCTATGTTAATCCAGCTGTAGGCCAGTATTATGCAGATGTATGTTTAGTAGTCGACATTAACCAAATGATTTATTGGAATATTTGGTCAGGAAGAATAAGTCAATGTCTGGTCCTCGAATGTTTAGAATACCGTGGATTTGTGAAAATATTTAGAAATGCTGACAAGAATTGCCCATTTTGGAGACTTTTATTATTTTAATTATAGTGACAGAATATGAACTTTGATTAGACTGTTACTCCAAGCTGTGCACTACGTTGTTTCATTAGGGGAGTCTCATAAACGCAATAGAAATTATCTGGATCTTATCCTCAATTTCAAGGCCATTAATATTTAGACTATTGCTTATGGAGTGCTAGTTCACCAAGCCCTCCTTTCCAAATGTCAGTGGTCATATGATAGCTAATTGCTCCTCACACAACAGATATTACTGATGCAGTTTAGGATAAACCCATAACAATTGAAACTGACACAGTTTTAGGTGATTGCTTACTAAATATTTCTCAAGGCATTAAATATACATGTACCTCCACTTTCATAGCTTCATAAAGCAGTATAATACACCTCTACCCCAATATAACGCTGTCCTCGGGAGCCAAAAAATCTTGCCGTGTTATATCGAACTTGCTTTGATCTGCCGGAGCGCGCAGCCCCGCCCCCCCCCCCCCCTCCCCGAAGCACTGCTTTACTGCGTTCTATCCGAATTTGTGTTATATTGGGTCGCGCTATATTGGGGTAGAGGTGTATTTGCCTAATTCAAGACTGTCCAGCAAATTGAGGAACTGTCCTTTTCAGTACCATTCCTGTGTGGGTTAAGTAACAATAAAAACCATGTGCACAAACCCTTTTTCATGAAAGTGAGTACCTTTTAGGAAGTAATACTAGTAAATTAGGTTGTCACCCTAACTGATGCAAAGTGAGGAGAATGAAAATGTTTGATTCATAGCCAGTGTATATAGAATTGGCATTAATAAAGCTGAGCACCTGTAGTTACACAATTGTTATATAGAATCTATTCTTGTTTGTTTATTATTAGCTTGGTAGAAGTGATAGAATTTATCTTAAACTGCTCTTATTCTGAATGTAGGGGTAGCCACTTGTGGAAATTTCAGGGATGACTAATAAACTGAAAAATCTTAAATCCATTTTCTTAAATTTAAGCGACAGCTTCATTGAACTATGAGAATCTTAAGGAGGTGAAGCAGAACTAATCAAACTTTGTATCGATAAACCCTTGTTTTCACAAACAACTGTTCTGATGCATACGTATATTAATGTTGTATATGTTGAAAGAGTTCATTAAAGTTGTATTGTGGGCTAGTTATGGATTCTTCAGTTAAATGCAAGGTGAAATTTTGCATATCAATGTTATCCAAATGTATTAATTGTAAGAGAAATAAAATACTTTTTAATTATTAGTTTTTAAATTTTGTTTTGTAGTTCACTGGGAACTGTAGGTGTTCAAATGCTCTGAAAATGAGGCCACTTTTATTAGGTGCATAAATATGGATATAAATGCTTAAACTTGGTCACTTACATTTGATTGTTTTGGACTTCATGTTTTAAAAATCATATATACACACTGCAGCTGCACATTACAGAAATCTTTAGCCCTTAGCATTGAAGAGATCTTGGTGAAATTGGATCTTATTTCTACTTTCAGTGTTTTGATGTCTAATAACTCCCTCCCTCTTTCTATGTGTGTGTCTGAAGAATGAGCACATGTCGTTGGTGTACGCCTGGTGGTTCCTCCACCACCCAGTTCCTAAGAACTTATGCTTCCAAGACTTTGTCCCCTGAAGATCGTGCAGCAGCCAATGATGATCTGTGTTACTGCCTGGAATGTGTGGTTGAATATCACAAGGCAAGGGATGAATTGCCTGGCTTACTGCAGGAGGTAATTGTCTCCTACTGAGCTGCACAGAATAAAAGGTTTAGTTGAGTTACCTCAGAGGGTGGGATTTGATGGTGGTTAGGTCTGACTGAGGGAGAGGAATTTTGTGAGGGCTCTGTGTTTAGCTAACTATTGCAGGAAGCGTATGCTGCCATTTAATTGTAAGTTCTTGTAATGTGCTCTATTCCTGTATTTAAATACAGAACTTTGTCCCAGTTATCAGTCTTCTGTCTAAAATAATGATGAAGCTATTAACTTTATTCAGAAATGAATAAATTATTCAAAACCTTATTCATTATGTACCTACAATTTCTGACTGCCACTAAAGTTACTTTAATGATTCTATAATCAGTCAATTCCAAATTGAAAATGTTGCTGATGATCTGTGTCACCTGAGTTCCACACCCAACTGTTAATATTTTCTTACAATGTCTGGAAAGTAACTTTCCAAAACAAAGTAATGAGCTCTTAGAATCTCATCAGGAGTTCCACATGATGTTAAACATCCTCAGTCTCAGCAACTGTACAAACTATTGTTTCCTTGTTTCCTTTTCCCTGAATAGATCTTATGGGAGTTGGAAACCTCCCGTCTCATTGACCACTTTGAGAAATCCATGAAGACAGATATTGAAGAGGATGATGAATTATTTATAGTGGATGACAATGGGGAAACTAAACTGTCTGGTTACACAGGCCCAGATTTTGAGAACCACCTGCGTGTACCTCTTCTAGAAATACTGAAATACCCGTACCTGCTGCTACATGCACGAATCAGTGAGTATCTCATGGCTTACACTTGAAAGGATCCAGTATTCTCACTATTGCAGAAGGTGAAAATAATTATTTTAAACGAGCATTAGTGAAATGTTTAGTTGCCCTAGTAATATTTCTTTAAGCAGTAAAATAACTTCGCTTGCCTTGGTTTTGGTTAATCTCTACCATTTATGTCTCCTCTTGTTTAGGTGAGCTCTGTGTTGAGGCTCTTTGTAAAATGGAACAAGTTAACTTCTCCTTTCAGGTCTTTGACAAACATCCAGGCATTTATCTGTTGTTGGTACACCCCAATGAAGTGGTGAGTTATTTCTCCTACAATGAGACTACAATCAGAAAAATGAACTCACTTTAAGCTTTTACTGGGCACTTCTGTTTCAGGGATTTGATTGTGTATGTCTATCCTTGTTCACATTTGGCAAGAGTAATAAGCCTATTGTTTCAAAGTTTAAACGTTTCTGCTGTATCCTCCTCATATAAACAATCCATAGAAGCATGTAACCTTGATTAATATGTCTTGGCACATAATATTCCTATCCATGATAATAAGTGGTTGTTTTGCAAGAACAGTTGTTCTTGCAAAACAAGAGCATGCAAGAAAAAAGTCAGTGAAAAGGCATATTAAAGTCTGCAGACTAATCAATGTTTACTGTTTAATTTGAGCCATTTGTAACATTAACATTTTGGGTGTTATGTGGCTTTTCTCAAGGTGGATAATAGGAGCACCTAACAGTTTAAAGCATTTAATTTCTATTGAGTCTTCTCCTAATTTCACCTGTTCTGGAGATTGAGCCTCATACTGAATTGAGAACCTAAAGAAGCATGTGTTTTTCAAAATAAAAATGTACCCAAAGGAAATTCCACTACATAGTCTGAGTTTAAATAACATTCAGATTGTTTTTTCCAAATTCTTGTGATTAAAAATAAAATCAGAGTTAAGATTCAAAATTCAGCATGATTCTTCATTCTCCTTTTTTGGCACAGGAAGTTGTTCAATTAGAATTTGGATAGGAATACAATTATACTGTCAATTCAAAGAAAATGGAATTCTTTTGACTGTAAAGAAAAGAATTGACTGAGAATGCGGGGTGGGGGGTCAGAAGTGAAGGAGTGGAGGGCAATGCATCATGTATTGTGCAAATGAAGTTCATAAAGTGGAAATTGTGGTGCAGAAGCTCACAATGTGTAACTCTGAATCACTGATTCCTGTCAAGGAACAAAAGTTATGGGGCTTTGTTTTCAGAAGTGTTGATAACTTAAAAGTTCAGTTAAAGTCAATAGGAGTTGCAGGTGTTCAGCATCTCTGAAAATAAAGATCTAGGCTTTCAGGCTGAGTCCAAGTATATTTTGTATGCCACACTTTCCAAGGTAGCCAAATACAATGTTCATACTCCAGCCTTTTTTGTGCTGGGATGTTGAGTCTCTCCATCTCGGTATCATTTGTTTTTAGTCACTAAAAGCTATATCCTTGGGTAGTCTGAGGTTCAGTAATCTTGGAATTGCCTCCAATGTGAAATAGAAGTGGTGAGAGTGGCACTGTCAGTTGGAATAAGAGACAGTCCGGAACACTCTTCCTCCCCAAATCCTTTAATTACAGAGCATTCCCATAGCATACATAGTGACATAGCACGCAGAGTTTGACATTACCAGCAGGCACAGTTGTCCTTTATTTTATTAGTCTTCATTCTGAGACCAGTGGAGGCTAGATGGTATTTTTAATTGTATGTATCTGAATGAGATTCAGAGAGGGTATTTTAATTAGGCCAATCCTAGACCACAATGGGAGGTCTCTGTGCCATATGTTCTTGTTTGAAGCAGACCTTGAGGGCATTCATAATGTAGTAGATGACAGTAGCTTATCTCTTTTTGAATCCAGTCCCTTAAGGAATGATAACAAAGTGGAAATTTCTTGGGATACCCAAGTGCATCTGGGTTGAAAGTCACAGGTATTATCAAAATTGTGACATTTTGCAGGCCAAATAGCATGGGAAGGCCAGAAAAAGACCTAAGCAAGTAATTGGTACAGAGTTGGATAAGTGTGAGAATGCCCCTTGTCATTCACTCCCTTGACATATGTTTAACTCTACAGGCAGACTTAGATTATCCTATAAAACTGCCTCTGTATACAGCATAGTGTGAAACTGTAGGACCCCAACTAGATCTGCCTTGATCTTCCTGGTAGCTTCAATAGCTGGGGAAAGGATTGAGTGGTGGTGGTTATATAGAGTCCACAGAACACCTGGATCTTAGGATGTAAGCCCATTGAAGGTACCACTGAAGGGCCTGCTATGTATCTTGAAGGATTCATAGTACACCTTAAGACTAAGGAGGGACAGAATGTCCTTCTTAGCTCACCTCCGAGAAAGTCAGTGAATAGTTTGATATGAGCAACTTTGGGTGTGTAGATCAGGAGGAATATAAGGGTTATAGTAATCTAGGCAGGATATTCATCTTAATATTTTATTTCACAGGAAGAGGTGAGTATTTGTAATTTTTTCAAGTTATTTGATATTGTGTCTAACTGTGGATCCAGACTTTACTTGACAGAGTTTGAGAGCTGGTATGGATGTGGATCTGTAGGCATTTTAGGGAGGCTACCCATTGAAAATTCTGCCATTCAAATTGATGCATAAGCTGGTCCTGAGAAATGCATGGGAGATATATTACCCTATTTTATAATCTGACAATATACTGTATATAACATTAGAACGGCCATACTGGGTCAGACCAAAGGTCCATCCAGCCCAGTATCCTGTCTTCCGACAGTGGCCAATGTCAGGTGCTCCAGGGGGAATGAACAGAACAGGTAATCATCAAGTGATCCTCCCATCACCCATTCCCAGCTTCTGGCAAACAGAGGCTAGGGACACCGTCCCCGTCCATGTTGGCTAATAGTCATTGATGGACCTATCTTCCATGAACTTATCTGTAGTCCTTCAAATGTGTCAAAAGATGGATTCTGCTCGGTAATAAGTAGACAGGCATCCTTCACATACAGCATTAACGTATGGTTGCTATTCCTTAATTGCACTTATGTCTGTGTTAAATGTTGATCAATAAAGTTTCAAGGATATCAAACAAGTCTAGAGATAAAGGGTGCCTCTCTCTGGTGCCTCCAGTGAGTTTTTGCCCTTGAATGTATGCTTTCTAACTCTTTTGGATTTTTTAGATTGCACTGCACACAGTTTGTAATATGCATGGGGAAATGTTTGTTTATGTTGGAAGAATACTTGAGTCTCACTTCCAAGAGCTTGCCCTCAGTACAAATGTATTTGACCACATTTTATTAGGAATATGGCTGCTAAACTTACAGCTTTTTCTGTGATTGCTGTTTGTTGTATTCCTTCTAGTAATATTTAAGTTTTTTTTTAATATATAGATTCGTCGATGGGCCATCCTGACAGCAAGAAATTTAGGGAAAGTCGACAGGGATGATTACTATGACTTACAGGAAGTGTTGACTTGCTTGTTTAAAGTCATTGAGTTGGGACTGTTTGACAGTCCTGATATTTATAGTTCTTCAATGATTGAGAAGGGGAAACTCATTCTTCTGCCATCCCATTTGTATGATACCACCAACTACAAAAACTACTGGCTTGGTGAGTGTTCGTTCAGTAGTGAGCTGTATCTGTGCTTGCTCTCCACCCCCCATCCCGGAGGAGGGTGGTGACATTTCTTTCAAGTGGCAGGCCAACCCCTATGAGTGGAATCCTGTGATTCACCCCATTTCTAACTGAACCCCAAGGTTACAATGCCTCTTGTTTCCCAAACATTTTACCTCCAAGAAGTCCAACTGGATTTTGCCCTTGCTACAGAATCCTCTCCAGGAATTGGACCAGCTGGTAAATGCAGTAACAGAGAACAGCTTTTTCAAAACAGAGTATGATTTATTTACTCTTAGGAACATTACAAGCAGAAAGAAAAGGGTTAAAAAAACACCTAAATGCATATTGCCTTACCTAAACATAGCCTTTCCTTGCTAGTTTAAGTAGGTTCCACTTGACCCAGACACCCCTCAAGCATTGAAGCTTGGTGAAACAGGTTGTACCTCTGTAGCTGCTGCTGCCTCTTTGACAGTCTGAACCCCATACAGTGTCTCCCCCTCAGGACACAAGCTGTCTTTTATTCATCTCAAAGGTTTCTTTGAAAGTTCCCACCTGAAGATCTCCTAAGGTTTCAAGTAGGGCTCCTGAACCTGACCAAACTGGCTTGTTCACTTCTCTAGATGGGGTTTGGAGGTGCCTTCATCCATTAGATTCTTTGTATTGTCCAGACAATTGAATTCTGTTTACAGCTATTGTTTTGGGTTCATGCAGGATTTAACCTTTAGTCACCTTTTAGCCGGCAATACAGTAACCACCAAACCCACAGGTATATCCACGTTCTTCAGAGGAATATTCATTCTGCAAAGTTAGAGTTGTTGAAATTTCAGTTAATTCTCTTTGGATCTTGTCTCAGTCCCTATGAGGTCAGTACAATCAAAGTTCTTGAAATGTGGAATGCATTTTGGGAGTTGTCAAATAGAAGAATACTAACTTCTCTGTCCAGGAGACTCAGTAGCTTATTTAAATTCATCTGCTTCAGGTTCCTCTGATGCTGATCATTTCCTCTGAGAGCTTTCATTGCAGTGAGCTTTGGAAAACAGTACTATTTAGGTTTGCCAAAACTTGAAGGGGGAAAAAAAAGGATCTCGTACACAAACGTAAAGACAGATTGCTTTCATTGCAGGTATCTGTATGTTGCTAACAGTGCTGGAGGAACAAGCTATGGATTCTTTGTTGCTGGGTCCAGATAAACAGAATGATTTCATGCAGTCTATACTTCACACCATGGAGAAACAAACAGATGGTAACTAATTTTAACTGATGAGGCAATGATAAATGGAGATTAAAAATGGATTATGAACAGTCACATTCTGGTTGTGATATAATTCCTAATAGAACTTACTACTTTTGTCGAACAAATTATTTTTGGTATAGAAGTATAATGCCAAAGACAGGGTTTCTCAGACTTTGACATTTCATTCCTTCCCTGATGTGAAGAACAATATTTGGACATACCTTGAGACAAACACTGAAAAACAAGGTTCAGAGGGACTTAGATAAGTGGAGAAAAGCCCCTTATGGCTTTATGGAGCCATATGTAAAGCGTTAGGTAAGGGCAAACTTTTTTCCCCAATTACTGGGTGATTTCCACTTAGAAGAGATGGTACAGTTTTTTCCATGTGGTATGTATTCTGGCTCTTGCATCCTAAAAGGGAAGAAGTCGCTCTTCCTGGATTATGTTTTTACCTTTCCTGGAAGCTGAATTTCCATATCCTCCTGATTAGTGGTGTGAGAGACAATTCAGTGAAAACGGAAAGTTCATAGTTGTGTAGTAACTCTTTTAATTTGCAAAGGTAACATTTCAAACTTTGTAGTTCCTGCTAATTATTTTTCAGATCCTTTTTCTGAGACTTGGACGTTTTTAATTATTTATAAGTTTCTTTTTGTAATATGAGAAGAAAAAGATTGGATCTTTATAAGTGCAATTTTCATTAAACAAAAAGTTTATAATCTTACATGAAGAAGGAAGAACACATGTACAAGAAAACTGTATAATATCATTATCTCAGATCTGAAGGAGCTTTAAAAGGAAATACCCCTTCAGTAGTTGATAGATTATTCTATTTTAATTAGCATCTAGATGAAGAAGCAACAAAAACAAAGGAAAAGAGGAGGAGGAGAAAAAGTTAAAATTACTCAAATTGTGGTAAGAGTCTTCTGTATATACGAGGATCCTCTCCTTTTTTATCCTTTTCCTGAGCTAATTGCATCTAAACATCTAAGAATTTTTGCTTTGTCAGTCATAAAAATTCAGCCTTTTACCATCAAAAATTAGTGCTAGTCTTCTGGGGTAAAAAAAAAGCTTAAATACCAATATAATTTAATTACTTTTTAAATTGTGTTCTGCCCCCCTCGTTAGTGTTACGTGAGCTACAACTCGAAAAATAGAGACTCTGTCCTGAGTATAAAATTTTCTTTTACTTTAACCACTTCAGGGAAATTGAGCTATAGCATTATCAGAACTAAAGGTGATAATTAAGGTCTGGGATTTCTGCCGACAAAGAATCTTGTTTACGGTCAGTTTTTTTATTGGCAGAGTAATTTATATCCCAGTACTCTAGTTTTTAATGCAAGAGTTTTTTAAAAAACTCAGAATTCTTCTACAGAAGCATATGTTTTCTTGAGTCAGTGAACTTCTAGCAAATGTGCATTTATCTATAGCAGATTGAAGCTTCATTTTTTTTAGCTGATGTCTGTACTTTATACTGTTTACAAATTCCTCAGTTTCAGTTACTGTGGGAAAAGAATTCCAAAATATGATCTAGAGATATCGGATTCTGACTCTTAACTGCTTTCTTAGTGAAACCAGAATGGAATGCTGAGAATGAGTTACTCTGTGCTGGCCACTCAAAATGCTGTCATTTTCTGTACCAGAAGAGAAGATGCCGATTTAAAAACACCACCACCACCCTATATATCTTTGTAGCTGAATCTTCTTAGGTACTTTTCTCCATTGAACCATTAAAAATTTTCCAACTGCAGAAGTCTAAACAGAAGATTCTTTTGAACAAATCAGTTGACAAAGCTGTAAGATTGAGAGATTCTTCCCTGCCTAGCCCTGTGCTCTCCACACAAATACCCGTAAATAACAATAATAAACACTTCTACCAAATCTTTTTATCTTTTCAGATTTTATTGTGTTTAAAGGCAAGAGGGGAAAAATTAAATTTCTCATCTTGTTCACTTCCTCTAGGGAGGGGGCGCCTAGCCACACTAATAGGCAGGGGAAGCCGGCACAACAGAAGGACACAGTTGCTGCAAAAGCTGAAATGTGAAATAATTGAAGAAAAATAGAGCTCTTTTTCAGACATAACTCTCCTTCCCTGGGCAGCTATACGAGGCATAATAACTCGTCTCAATAATATACCTCTTACCCGTGCCCACTAAAATATCAGCAGCCAAAACAAAAAGGGCGAAAGGTAGGAATGACATAGCTTTGCAGTGAGGGGAAACTTTAAAAATGATCATCCATTTTACACCTTCCTGTCTCTTGCTCCTCCAGGTTACTACTACTTATAGAGGGAAAGCGTGACTGGTCTCAGACCTTAGGAGCCACACTGGCTTTGCAGATGAGGGGAATTTTTAAATTATTCCCCTCCTCTTTTCCTCTGGGTCTTTAAAAAATGCCTTTTTTTTTTAAGGCTTAAACATTTTTTTAAAAGTTATAATTCACCTTTGTTTCAATGTTTAAACTAATAAAAGCACTGAAATGCAGAATTAAATTCACTTTGTATTCAGCTAGCAGTAGGAAAGCGTAGGACACTTCCCCCTCAACTCCTCGTGATCTTAGACTGTTCTATTTCAGATGAAAGCATTGATCCCTTCTGGCCAGCGCTGCACTGTTTCATGGTGATTTTGGATCAGCTCGGGTCTAAAGTGTGGGGTCAACTCATCGATCCAGTCCAGGCCTTTCAAACCATTATCAACAATGTCAGCTACAACAATGAAATAAAAAATATACGCAATAGTTCAAGGAGGTGAGTTCAAGTTTTAAAAATATAGCTTCGGTAGCTTCTAGCCCTGACCTCAATGCTATAATAGATGTTGGGGAAATGGCCAGGAGCAAAATAAAATAAGTGCAGCATTACCAACTCTAAGTGATCAAAACTCATGATGCAGCCCCCCACCACCCAAATCATAAAATTTGAATTAAAACTTGGGAGTTTTTACAAAATAATAAATGCTGTGTTCTCTTTATTTGCATTCTGTTTTTTTAACCTTTTGGATTCATGTTTTCAAGACTTTCTCTGCAGCCATGAGAGCTAGAAACTTTGTTTTTAAAAATAACAGGAGTACTTGTGGCACCTTAGAGACTAACATTTATTAGAGCATAAGCTTTCGTGGATGCATATAGCTATATGCATATATAGGTGTATATATATATAGGTATAGGTATATGCATCCGAAGAAGTGGGCTGTAGTCCACGAAAGCTTATGCTCTAATAAATTTGTTAGTCTCTAAGGTGCCACAAGTACTCCTGTTCTTCTTTTTGCGGATACAGACTAACACGGCTGCTACTCTGAAACCTTTGTTTTTAAAGTAATGCTGAGACTTGCATGTAATCACATGACTTGAGCTGCAGCTTTCATAAAAACAGCCAGTTATCCTGAGGGTTGGCAAGCCCGCAAATGAGACATTACAACTACAACTTTTAATTGTGTTTTCGGTTAACTTTTAACTTACTGGCAAATCATATATACAGTCTTCTGAATATTTATCGACATCAAGAAAATCTCATCAAGGGTCTTCCCATGTTTTATTCCTTTTCTGGATATAATGCTTCCACTAGAGATGGTAAAACAAGAGAAAAAATTATGTTTAAAAACGTAACGTATGTCAGACTTCTTAGAGGAAGTGTTTCAAAGCAGATAGGCATCAAATGGCTTCTGGAAGCTTTTGGTATTCCCAAATTTACAATTGAAATTTAACATCGTGTTTGAGACACATCTTTTAAGAGTAACCATATATTAGACATTCAAAATTAAGCAACCAGCAGACTAGCTAAGTCACTCATTCAATGGAAAAGTAATCTGTTAGTAAACAGCTATCCGGTTGTGGAAGTGGATTCTCTGTGCAGAGTTGGACTCCACCTTTTAAACAGTCTTTTTTACGGTACACAGTTGTTTTAAGAGGATACTAGCAGGTCCTTCAGCCCCAGATTTAGGCTTTGTAAACCTTTTTCTCTTAATTACAAAACCTTAAATTAAACCTTTCCATAAAAACATTCTTCAAAAAGTGGCAATTGGGTGGGGGATGTAGGACTTAAACATTCTTCTGGGATGGTCTACAGGCCAAATTGCCACATTATCCTATTGAAGGAAAACTAGTCAGTAGAAACTTCAGTCTTTTTTCATTATCCTTAATGAGTGAAGTGAAAAAGTAAATGGCATAAATAGGTAAATTCAATTATTAAAACTGAGAATTTTTAAACACCGAAGCAGCTGTTAGTAATACTGCGGACAATCACAGTTAAACAAGGTGTTTATGCAAATACTTATTACGTTATATTTCTTCCTAGTATATGTTAAATCCTCAACTCATTAGTCAAATCTGTCACTTAGTAGTAAGATCTCTCTGAAGCTGGTACCTTTCTTTTATGCAGTTTCTTTAAAGCACCTACTTGGGTTGCCAACCCTCCAGGATTGTTCTGGAATTTCCAGGAATTAAAGATTAATCTTTAATTAAAGATTGTCATTGTGATGAAACTTCCAGGAATACGTCCAAGCAAAATTGACAACCCTATTTACCACACTTGTGGGCACCATAAAATGATAGAACTAGAACAAACTTACACATTCTCACGTACCATATTAATGTTTTCAGACACATTTGATCACTTGCATCAGTTAGTAGTAAAATGTGGCATCTGAAACTGTGAAATCTTCTGACTTTTATTTCACTTAGTTCATGAATAATTTGCATGTCTTGGATCAACTTGTATTTCTTTTCTTTAGGACTAAATCTGAACCAGAGTCAAACTATGAGGAGGAAATGGTTTCTTGCAGCCAGATTGTGTATAATTACAATACAGAAAAGCCCAAAAAGGTAAATAATAAAAAAAAAGCTTTGCATTTATTTTCTCTGCTAGTTTTCTGATTCATTTATTAAAGCACACTCAACTTAAATCATACTTAGTGTTCTTGGGTAGGTTTCTTTTCAGACAAATTATTTTTCTCTATTTGTAATTTGTGTGCACTGGATAAAAGTTGGTCTCTAGTCACATTCACTGTTTACCCTGTATAGTGGGTCATTTTTCTTCCTGTTTGTGTGGATCTTTCGTGGAGCAATGGAGGAGAGAGAAACATTTTATAAAATGGGCATGTGTTGTGGTAAAACAAAAATTGGCAGAGGAACCAGGAGACAGGTGTTTGTACCTGAAAATACTTTTAACCCATTTTTAAGTTTCCTAGATTTTTATTTGACAGTGTCCCTTTTATATCCTTTTTGTTGGTTTATGGATATTTTTAAACTACTGTGCTAACTATGTAATATTGAAGTGACATGCCATTAAACGTTTGATCTACTGAATACTTTGGACCCATACATAACTTACTTTTTTTTAACTGTTTCTGTTTATAAGAAACACACTTGCATCATAACTGTCTCTCAACTTTTGTCTTTTAAGCAAACGTGCTATGTCTATCTGATGATACCAAAATAGTGCAGAGTCTCTAAACATTTAAAATAAAATACATTTGACCCTTTGACATGGAAACTGCTACATGCTACATACCGTGACTGGTGCTTCGGTTTTTTAAATGACTAAGTGAACTGTTTTCAATATTTTAATCTCATGGTTTATTCTTTGGGACTAGGAGAAGTTCCTTATGTATGGTAGAGTTTGGTCTTGTTTAGACTGTAGAGGTAAACTGGTTAGTAATGGATTTCTAGGATGCAACTGAACTGCTGTATCAAATCAGTGCCCGTAAATAATAAACAAGCACTATTTGTAGGGGTGGAAGCTAAAAAACTTTTGACTGAGAATATTGTTTGGTAAATCAAAGAAATCCAAATGAATAATAAGAGTGATATTGTGCAAAATACCTAATGAATAGTTGATTTGTCTTTTTCTATTTCAGGATACTGGATGGAAGACAGCCATTTGTCCAGATTATTGCCCCAACATGTATGAAGATATGCAGACATTGGCTAATGTGCTTCAATCAGATATTGGCCAAGATATGCGTGTCCATAATAGCACATTTCTATGGTTTATTCCTTTTGTTCAGTCCCTAATGGACCTCAAGGACTTGGGCGTGGCTTATATAGTAGAGGTCATTCACCATCTGTGCTCGGAAATCAAAGGCTTTCTCAGTGAAAGAGTCCAGCAATGTGACAAAGTTTCTGAATTTTTCATCCTGATTCTGGTGTCAGTTGTTGAACTACACAGAAATAAAAAGTGCCTTCATTTGCTGTGGATTAGCTCTCAGGAATGGGTGGAAGCAGTAGTGAAATGTGCTAACCTTCCAACCATAGCATTTACGCGCTGCTCTGAAAAAGCACCTGGAAACTGTCCTAAAGTTACATCAGCAATATCTTCACAGGCTTCTAACTCTGTACAGCATGCTTGCGTGCAGTTGATACGCAGCCTTCTTCGAGAAGGCTACCAGTTAGGGCAACAAACTGTTTGCAAGCAGTTTCTAGATAAACTCAATCTGCTTTTGCGGGGAAATTTACCTCTGGGTTGGCAGCTGAAGAACCGGGAAACTCAGGAATTGCAAATGTGTTTAAAGCAGGTAATAAGAAGTATAAAGGACAGATCATCAAATGCTTCCATACCTGTGGAAAATAGCGTGATTTGTACAAATTTGTCCACCATTCCTATAAAGCAAGAAAAAGGGACAGCCAGTGATAAGTGTCAGATGAATATACAACACGGAGATAGCCTCAGTCCCCCATTTTCTTTAGCATCTGGGAGCGATGAGGCTTGTCAAGAGAGTTCTTCCCCTAGAAGAAGAGGCATCGGGGAAGAGGAATATACGGAAATGTCTTTTAACAATAGAAAATTATGTGTAACTGCAGAATGCCTTTTGACAGATATTAAAAAAGAACCTCATGATAGGTCATTTCAGGAATGTGAACATCCCGATAGCTCTGGAGCAACAAAAATACACAAGAATACCCATAAAAATGGAAACAACTACCAAGTGCAGGGGAACCAAAATAAGAATAACTCCTTACTTAAACAGTGCTTCAATACAAGTCCTCAAGTCTCTGATTTCAAAAGTCATGCTATATTGGAAAGAGACGAAACAGAAGTGAGGATGCCAGAGTGTCTGAGTGCTCAGTCTTGTTCCAGTTCTCATGAAGACACTCACAGCTCAAATGGAAAAGATGGAAATGGCTCCCCTAATTCCTGTTCAAAGTTTAAGATAGATCCTAATAAAATCACAAATTTGAAAACCCAGAATGCTGATTGGACCACAAAACTACTACAGTTAATGAAGCAATCCGCTTCAAATTCAGAAATAGACCAACAACAGTCTCACTCCGAGTCTCTCTGTGCAAGTAAAGATGGCAGCAGAGATCAGGAAGTGAATATTTTGAGTGAAGGTGAAACCTCAGTTAACTTTAATACTTCAAATGGTTCTGAAAATAAACAGGAGAACAGCATGAACAGTACTTTTCAAATCAAGCTGCTCTCTCTTAAGCAGGAATCAAATGATACCAAGGCAGATTATTCAAATTCCTTTAAAAAAGAGGCTGGCTTGGAAGAAAGTGAAAGTGGCGATGAAGACGACAATATTCCACTTGCTACGTTTAAACGTTATTTAAAGAAAAAGAGATCCTTTTCAAGAAGATCGAGTTCTTTGCCAAAGCCTTTACTGAATAAAGACCTTAACACGGAGATACCAGATCAAGGGCAGTCTAATTCTGGCAGTTTATGCCCAAAGAGAAGTGACCTCAAAGATCAAAAAGTGAGCATGCAACGTACGGATGAAACTTCAGCAAATTTTAACATTCCATCTAGTTCTGAAAATAAAGGGGAGGTACCTAGGAATGCTCCTCTAATCAGTCCGCTCTTGATTAAGCACGAATCAACTGACAGACTGTTAGATTTTTCAAGATATTATAAAGGAGAAGGTGATTCAGAGGAAAAAATAAATATTGAAGATAATGCAGAAATTGCAGGTGATTTGGTAAAAAAGAAATCTGGAGCTAGCCCCTTAACAGACTCTCAGATTGATAGAGACCTTGATAAATTATCCTTAGCTGCTTATGCCAAAGGTGTCAATTTTCCTGTTGCTTCAAGCCAAGAACACTCAATACATCGGTGTGACATTAAAAGGAAAGTAAAAGGTGCTGTTAGATCATCCACAAAGGACCAAAGTAATGAGTCCTCTTCTGATACAGATTGTCCCAACAATGAAGTCATTGTCATTTCAGATTCCTCTTCTGATGAGGAAAAAAAGTTGGGTATTAAGAAGCCAGGAAAAAAAGAGGTGTGTGTATGTCCAGAAAAACAACCTTTAACATCTGGCTATGTTTCTGATAGTGCAAACAAAAAAGAGCAATTGAAGACTCATAGCTCCCCGTTGCCGTGTGAGGAACATAATTCTCAGTTTTTTGAGTTTGAAACTGAAGATGATGTCTTTTCAGTCTGGCAAGATTCTCAGATAAACGATGAAGAAGTGAATCAGGCACAGGAACAAGACTCTAACTTGACATCAACAAGTACTCCAGATAGTTTTGAGTTGGCAGATCGTATAAATGACTGGGGTTATGATACAGATTACATCAGTGATGATGTCATTGAAAAAGCAGAAGAGATTGTTGAAAGGCAGGTAGATTCTCTCTCTCATAAGAAAGTTAGTAAAACTGGCACAAAATCTGAGGCACCTTTTCAAGAGCCTGCTATCAAGGGAAATGCAACTGCTCAGTCTGAGAATTTTACTCAGCCAGATGCTGTTGCTAAAGACCATGCCAAAAACACAGGCTTGATGGAGCCCAGAGCATCTACATCTAGTGTATCATTAGCTTCAAAGTTGACTATTAAAAAAAGCACTTTAAGCCCAGGCAAAAGTTTAGCAAAATCCAAGATTGTAAGAACTGCTCTTAGAAGTCCCAGAAAAATGAGCCTTAAAACTGTACAAAACAAAAAACCTGCTCAAACTAGTTCTAGAAATACTGAGCTTCGCAGGTCAACCCCTGCTGTAGTTCCTCCAAAGAAAGTTCGCCAATGTCCTGAGCCAACTTTAACTGTGGAAAAACTTGGCCTAAAAAAGGCCCCCCGCAAAGCATTTGAGTTATCCCAGCGATCCTTAGATAGTCTGGCTGAATTGCGCAGCTATGGGAAAGCTGCTGGGGCAGTTCAGACTCCACAGAAACAAAAAACTAAATTAATTGCTCCACAGAATCTAGTTATAAAACATAATAGAAAAATGTTAGCCTGCCAAGATCTTCAGTTTTTAAGGCAGATAAGACCCACACAAGTGGGGAGAGGGAAAAATCAGGTAGGAAGTTCTGAGGACAGAAGCAAAAAAATAACTAAAAAGTCTGATCCAAGGCATCCTATACAACAGCCTGTGGCTTTTGACCCAGTATCTGCTGCAGGAACTAGTGAAAAACAAAAAGAGAGGAGAGCAGAGCAGATATGCTATCCCTCAAGCAATGGTGGAAAAAAGGTGAGAAAAAGCTTCTCATCTGAGAGAGAGGAAGTCCAAACCACACATATGGATAAAATGACGCCACATGCTTCTAAGGAATCTAACATGAAAATAGAAGAAAACAATATGGCAGGTCCTGCATTACAGATCGAATCATGTTTTTCTTCATCTTTAACTGGAGACTACAAAAATGAACCTGCAGAGAGAGAATATGTTGTCCCTCTGGTTTCCCCATCTACGCCTCACTTTGAGGGGGCATCTCTGAAAGAGAGCAAGCCTACATTAAATGAAAACAGTGATGAAGATGATTTATTTTTAACTCAGTTAGATCCTGTGGATATGGAAATGTGTTCACAGATGGAAAATATTGGCGATATTATAATAGCTAGTGAAAAAGAGCCACTAGACACGAAAGTTGATGCTGCTGAAAGTCTGCTGCAGAATGAGCCCTTAGGTATTGTGAAGTGTAAATACAAAGATTGTACAGAACAGGTGGAAAAGGCAGGGGAGTACTGTAGTAAGCATTCTGCCACCAGTGCTTCAGATCATCTCTTTATCAAGCCAAGTTTACCACCACCTAAGCCTGAAAAACCTTCCACTACTAAACATTTCAGCTCAAATAGCTCTTCACGGAGTGACATCCTCACCAAGGATTTTGAAAATAATTCAAAGCGCTCATTGCCGTCAAAAGCCAAGTCAAAAGTGGTAAAATCCAGTGTCTCCAAGACAGGGAATCCAAAAGCTGTATCATCAGAGAACCAGATATTCAAGATCCCAAGTTTCAGCAGTAGTCTTCAGTCCCAGAGTTCCAGCAATGTTCTCCGGCCCCAGAACATGCAGACAAACAGTACTTCACGTTTTCCCAACAGGTCTGCCTCGGGGGCTCATTCAGGGCAAGAAAGAGGTCTCCCTTCCTTTCCACAAGCAAATGCTCTTGTCACTCAACAGCGTGATCATAGTATTTTTGTTACAGAGGTCCTGAAATGGAACTATGAAATGTTTGTCAACTTGAGCCAGTTTGGACTTCCATATAATCTTCAATCCATTATGGTCTCTGTTCCTGTCAAATTTCATGGATACAATGACTATTTTAATACATTTTTCCCCTTGATGATGCTAAACGCCTTTGAAACAGTAAGTAACGTACCTGCTTTTTTTATGAAACTGTTACCATTTTAAGTTTCTGTTTTCATCAAGCATAGAAAATTTTAGGAAGAGCTAAAAAGTGCTAGGTACCTGCTCATCTTAACTTCTGAAAATGTTATTGTGCCTTGATTTAAAAAAAAAAATCTTAATATTTGTACATCTCTGGGAGGGACAGGGTTAGAGGTTAAAATGTTATAGATTAATTTAGTGCTCAAAACAATGACAGCCCATGAGCACTGTTGCCATGCCTTCTTCGCTCCCATCCACTACAACTGAGCTCTTTCAGTGCACTTTAAAAAGGCCACCTGCAAAGGGGAAAAAATGGGTTTGTGCTCCTTTTTCTTCATAGTGTATAAAGAAGGCCTAAAAGGGAAAATCTCAATGTCTTTTTACAATAAAAAGTCAGGTCTTGGCTATTTTGTTTTCCAAAATATATTAAGAATGAATAGATCAGTCAGGCTTCTGACATCAAGAAACTTCGCAAAAGGGATCCAATTGATATGGGAAATGATCTTATTTCAGACTGCTTAAAACTTTAACCTCAGTGTAACATGAACACTTGCTGGAAAAGTGTTCTGCTAAAGGTACAATATCCCTGCCCCCTTCAATTAAGGAAGAGCTCTGTGTAAGCTTGAAAGCTTGTCTCTTTCACCAACAAAAGTTAGTCCAATAAAAATTATTACCTCACTCACCTTGTCCCTTCACTTAGTCTGAGAGTGCTTTCAAGCCTCACCTCTGCATCCTCCAAAAAGTCCTCCAGCAGAAACAGGGCAGATAAGACTTGCCATTCCTGATATTTCGAAGGTTAAAAAAAACAGAAAAATTGTTTTTGGAGCGGATTGGTAAGAAAAACCCTTTCAGGCTTCTTTCTTTATTGTTTGCACAAATATTAAATGTTGTTCCATTTTGAAGGTCACCTTATATTTTGACCTGCAACAGTACCATCTGTTTCACTTCATTTCTGCCAGTTCACTTCAGTACTGGTGCTCTTTGCTAGTCATGACAAATCATGATGTAATTTTAGAACATGTAATTTATCCTTATGAAAAACAGCCTCCTAAAATATTTTCATATAACTTCCACTTTTATTACATGCAGGTTGCACAGGAATGGATACAAAACCAGAAAACGAGAGAGAAAAATAGTTATCATTTGCACTTACAAAATTTCTGTGCTGACTTGAATCGAGCAGATTTTACAGGTGAGTATTTATGAAAACACCCAGTTTTCTGGGGAAGTAGGCAAAAATACAATGAATTGAATTAATGAATTAAAACTGAATGGTAGAAGTAGGTGTAGGAGATGCACAAAGCTGAGTACTCAAATTTATGATGTGGTTACAGGTCAAGCCTGAAGCTTAGTTACAAATACAGTGATGAGCTTGGTATAAATGCATAGACAGAAAGGTACCTTATTGCCAATCTAGAGAAAACGTATTGTGCTAGTTGAATATGGCACAACTATTACTCCTAATTGTGTAGGAGCAGTTTGCATGTGACATCCAGAATGCCCAAATTTATAAGACTTTTCCATTGTTTATTTGAAAAGGGTACAAAATATGTGTTGGTGAAAAGTACCCCTTGCAAGGAATTCATGCTTCAAAATTGTTCACTATGCGAAGCTGTTTTCTAAATATTTTAATATATCAGATCTGACCCATTTAGAAAAGTTTGATGACAAATTTCCTGGAAAAGGAGATGGGATTGAAGTAGCTTTTTGGCTTATTTTGGTTTCATGTATCTGATCTGAGTTCAAGATTGGTAACCAGGAACTCTTGAGTTATAATCCTGCTTCTTGCATGGATTCCTTGAGCAGGTCACACACTGTAAAGTCTGCATTTCTGTAACTTTTAGCCATTTTAAAACTTAGATGCATATTTCAGAAGTGCTTGCAATAAATGAATAATGCAGTGGTTACCCAAATACGGCTGGCTGTGCCTATTTTAATTTTTATATTGTTCCCGGTAGCATGCATTCGGGAAAGTGATCTGGCAAAACAGCTTCATCCAAAGGAGGACGACTTGATCTTTTTGGTGGTGCCTGAAAAACAAAACACCTTTGCAGAAGAAAGCGAGATGGAGAGCCATCTAGTGTATCATGTTGGTTTTGTGACCCGCTTCTCCCGTGCATCACTCCGTGAAACAAGTAAGTAAAAGTTGTAGAGAGAAGTTATAGTATTAGTCCACTAGGATAGGAGCCGGTTCTTTTTGCATGGTGACACCATATCCTTATATTCCCTCCAAAGTCATATTTCTCTAAATCCATTCTAATTGGTACATTTTTAACTTATTTTGTTTGTTTATTATTTCCTTTTCAGTGCTTGTCTTCAATGGCTAGCTTAGCAAGAGTTTCTGCAACAAATCTATTGTCTAATCATCTGAATATAGAATTGAGAACCCTTTTAATCTCCAAACAAATATTTCTTGTAAAGGTTATAACAGTGCCACTGTTAGTATTTGATCAGACCTTTCATATTTGTAGTTCCAAAATTAAAATGTTACCTTTATTTGGGCCTGTCCCTTAATTTAGAGTTTCCAAAGTGTTATTAATTAATCAAGAATTAACAATTCGTCAATCAATAACCAATAAAAAAAACAGTGATTTTGTTTAGTGAGAGGGGTTCCCTTGAGTCCGGGTTAGTTTAATAATAACAAACCTTGGATAAGTCAGCTTGATTGGATTTATTAACACTTAGTAAACACAGCACATACACTGAGAGAAATAGTTACCAACAGCGGTGAAAGACCTTTCCCTAAATTTCCCTGACAGCGTGCATTTCTCCTGATTTCTAAGGGCAATTATTTTTGCTCTTATCGTGTATCATTCTGGTCCTTATGTATTACCTCTTTTTGGTACAAACTTCTTATTTTGGATATTTCCAAGATTCCCCATAACATTGCAACTTTTGAACTGTCTCCACATCTGTTGGCTAGTCATTTTTTATGCCCTTTTTTAGACATTTATTTGTTTTGTCTTTTTCAGGTAGTACATTGATAAAATACCTCCAACAACCATTTTCAAAATATTCTAAGGGTTACTGCTCAGTAAAATTCCACTCTGTAAAGTTAGCTTCATCTTCCCTGTAAAACATCATGGGAGCCTTGCTCTCAGGCAAGCCTCAAAATCTTCCTTGGTCTAGCTGAAGTGTCATCAAAGCCTTTTACGGGTACCATCTTTTTCTATTTTAAAAAATTTATGGAGACCCCAGGAATCAAATCCTTATTCAGCAAAAGTGGGCCATATAATTAAGTGGCGATTTCCCTATCTCTTTTGAAACTCTGTTTATGGTTTTTATATTCCCCCTCCCTCAAGGTCATGTGTTGCCGCTACCCTGGTAAAAATAGGACTCCCTTTATAACACCCAACACTGTTCCTTAGCTGGCTGAAAAGTTCAGTTATGTGTGGGAAATAAGTGTATAACAAGTTGAATGCACTTCTTTTACAGCACTTACTCCTGGGAAGTAATAGACCAAGAGTCTAATCCTCATGTGCCTCCCATATAGCTGACCTAGACATTGTTTCTTGGACCTAGCTGTAAGACTCTTCAGTGTGTCGTGTGGTAAACTAGAAGTGAAGATCTGCTGTAATGGGTGTATAACATTTTTATATAAAGTTGGTGTAGCAGGGCACGCGTTCACCAGTGCAGTGCCTCCTGCTGGTCGTCCGGGAATTAGCTCATCCATCTCAGGATCACCCTCCTCTGGCCGGTTTCTCACCCTCTGTTACCTGCCCTGTTATCTCCAACACCTCTGGCCCGGTGTCTCTTCCAGACTCGGTGTCCCTTACCTTGGGGTGCTGCCCCACGGCAGTGCTTCTACACTCTGGTTCTCCCCTCCTGGGGGAGCCCCAACCCCCTATACCCACCTTGCCTCAGTGGCTACTGCCAGTCGTCATCTAACCCCTTCTCTCAGGGGCAAACTGCAGTCTGAAATGGCCGCTCATCACTGGCTAGGGGGTTGGACCTGCTGCCTTTTCTTGGCCTGGCTGCCTCCCTACAGCTCTAGTACCTCCTCAGGCTTTTGCTGCAAGGCCTCAGCCTGGGAGGTCGCCAGGCCAGAGCTCCCCAGCTCAGCCTGCCCTTTCCCAGTACTGCTCTGACCAAAGTACCCCTGCTTGCTCTCCTAGGCAGCCTGGTCCCCTCTGCTCCCCATCTGGAGCGAGAGTCCCTCACTCTCCGAGCCTGCCCTTTTATCAGGGCCAGCTGTGCCCTAATTGGGTGCAACCATACCTGTGGCTGACTACCCAACCAGCCTCCCCTGGCTGCTTTTAACCCCTTTCTGACTGGAGCAGGGTGACTGCCCCGCTACAGTTGGTTAAAGCCTTGGTATTCTGTCCAAGTAAAGACTGACAGTGAATAAGTGCTGTGTGTACTCTTTGGGCCCTGTCCTGTGAGATGCTGAGCGTCCTAACAATTTCAGCTGGAAGATGTTCAACATCTCCCAGAATCCAGCTGCAATGCACTAAGATGTGTTGGAGTGAAGAGTTGCAGGAGTAGTTAAATTTGTATTTGGAAAGAAATGTAACCATCCAACTTGAAACGTTAATGTGAGAAGAATAAAATGTATGGTTGCTTTCCCATGATGCTCTTTCTTTTAACAGGGCAAAATGAGCAGCATGTTGTCTGTCACCTTTCCGTCCAAACTCGAGGCAATTTGTCATACTACATAAACCAGCCAGTGAAATGTGTAGTGGTCAGCTCTCTAGTGACTACACAACGAAGGTTCAAAGGTCTGCTACTGTTGAGCAGGAGTCCTCTGGCTAAACCCATCATAAATCCAAGTTACGCTGACTTCTGTCCCAGGGATTTGAATGTAACTTCCGAGAGCACTGTAAGTCCTGTAACTAAGTAGTAAAGAGATGAGGTAGTGAGGGATGACAAGTCAGCATTTTCATATCTTATTTTACCAATTTTGCTAAATTATTAGAAAAGCCATCCCAGTAGTTGTGTGCTCACTGAATGTAGTATTGGGCAGCTGAGCCGGGTTCAAAAGCATCTTTGAGTCTCAAACTGGATGCCAGTTTGTTGGAGTTGATGAACTGTGTCTGTATAAGGGGCTGAACATATGTTCAGATGCCTCTTATTGGTTTTGATTTATGGCACTGTATTGATATCTGTTTTAATCAAGAACCACTCCCCTGTCTGCTGTTTTGTGGAGAAATATCTGCTTAGGAGTTGAGGGGGTGGTGATAGAAAGGTAAAACCAAAGGAAGGCATGGGAGACCTAAAATCTTCTTAGTAGCAGCCTTCAGGTCAGGGGTGTGCTGTGCAGAGAGAAAACTCAGTCTCAGAAGTGTGTGCACTCTATAAGCTCTCCAAACTGAGGGCACGACAAGAAACAAACCGAAAGTACAGAAACTTTTATTGATGACTTCAGTTAATAGAACATTCTTTTTTTCCCTGTAGAGTTTCTACATGAGAGACTACAATGCAGATCAGAAGAAGGCTATTGAAACTGCTTATGCTATGGTGAAGGAGCATCCAAGTCTTCCCAGAATCTGCCTGATTCATGGGCCACCTGGGACAGGGAAATCAAAAACTATTGTTGGACTCCTGTACCGTATTCTGACAGAGGTAGGTGAATATGGTTACATACTCCATCAGGCATTCCACCTTGGTTCACACAAGAGAAGCAGTGAAATGAAGTAGTTGGCGACATGAACTAAATGTAATTATTCTTAAAGTATTTATTGTAGTAACTACTAGAGAATATAACTCATTCACTTTGTTTGGTACTGAATAAGAGGCTGTGAATTTCATTGTATACTAGCTGTGACTCCGGTATTGAAACACCGCATGCATTTTGGAAAATAAATTTATTAATTCCAGCAATGCTTGAAAAACAAAATGCATAAAACTACTTTGTCTAGCTGTTGCGTAGTTAGCAAGGTAAGAAACCTGAGTCATCTATCACACTTAAATTAAAAATCTTAATCTTTTTTTGACCATTTCTAATACAGAAGACTGGAACTTGAAACATCACACCTGTTAAGTTTTCATGTTAACCCTCTGTACATTAGCCAAATGTATCTCCATAAAATAGAATTCATGCCAATACTTTCCAGTTTAAGCAGAAGTCATTGCTACTCACTGTTAAGCTTGGGTGGTTCCCTGACAGAGGTCCCAGTAAAGCAGCCTTCCAGATTAAGCATATCCTGTTTGAGAGGAGTGTACTGTCTAACATTTGAAATTAAAAATCTGGACTAAACTGCTGGTTTTAATGTCTTGTTTATTAACCTCCAGAGGTCTGGGAATGAGAAACGAGCTCAAAACTTGAATGCCAAGATCAAGCGAAACCGTATTCTGGTTTGTGCACCATCCAATGCTGCTGTTGATGAACTCATGAAAAAGATAATCCTGGAATTCAAAGAAAAATGCCAAGACAGAAAAAATCCTTTGGGTATGAAAGTTTATTTCTATATATAAAATGGGTAATATTGAAGGAGAAAAAGGAACTGTTTAACCAGGATGCAATCGCTTCATAGCATCACTTTATTCATAAAGCACGTGTACAATTACAGTGCTATACAGATAAGAGTAAGATACGTTCTCCCCACAGAAGAACATAATCAGTATGACCTCACACTCCCTATTGATTGCTTTCATATGTTTCTCTAAAATGTGCATGGTATAACTTGTTTGTCAGTGACTATATTGCTTTAATAGCAAGCCCTTACAAATTTGCAGTTTGAAATCACGATCATTGACCCTTTTCCTCTTTTTGTGTTAAAGTATTAATACACTTCTTTCTCAATATGGCTCAAAGGCTTGGATGGAAGACTTCCATCTTTATACTGAAACTATTGGAATTTCCAGCTCTTATAAGTTGGAGTTGCCATTAAAGGCCAGGGTAAAATGCTTTTGCAATATATTCTGGAGTCGGTTCACTTTGTGGTTCTATTTTCTTTCTCTGTTTGTGCTTATGTGAAATTGACAATGTCTAAGCAAAGGGTGGGATTGCTCTCTACTTTGGTGGGTCAGTGTTAGGAGCAGTAAATTACTAGTGGGGAATAGTCCAGTATAAGGGCAAAATACTGCTGTCAGAACTGCATGCACTGTTTTTTAAACATGGCTTCACTGAAGCTCTCAAGGATTCTTCCATATAGCTGATGTTAACTCCATATTCATGTGCTTGCATTTCTGACTGTGATCTCATAGCAGATATGTAAATGTGCGTCAGAAAATGCCCTTTAAATGAGAAATATTGTAGATAATGAAGTCTAGCATATATCCGATAATGAAGTCTAGCATAACTAGCTCCTATCTTGAATCTATAATCTGAAACTGTGGTTTATATACAGGAAATTGTGGAGATATAAACTTAGTGCGACTAGGTCCAGAAAAGTCAATAAGCATTGATGTCCTGAAATTCAGCCTGGACAGCCAAGTTAGCCACAGAATGAGTAAGTAACATGCAAAAAAGACGACTTCAGTTTCCTTTATAAGAATATAGTCTTGAGGCTGGTTATGCTATGTGCTCAGTTCCACTGGACACAAAGGAGAAGTGTCGCAAAGGTGGGTATTTATAGAACAGCCTATATTATGCCACAGTGCTTTTATAAGGAATTTGTTTTCTCTAAGGGCCTCAAAAGGGGGACACTGTCAATATAAATTTGCCCTAAAACTTACATTTTTTTAAAAAATACAAAGTAAACAGCTTTTATAAGGCCAATAGATTTTCCCCACAAATAAAAATCTACTGAGAACATTTGCATTTAAACAAACCCTTCTGTAGCATTTGAAATCTAGACACTGTGGCATTTAAAAACCTGACTAATAAATAGAAAGGACACTGACTTCATTGATTTTCGTTGTCCAAGGTGAGAAATGCAGGAAGTAAAAGGAGTATAAATAATGGCAAGTAAACTGATTGCCAGTCCATTCATTTTTAGTAATCTAAGGTGGTGCTAGTGACATAGTTTAAATGTTAGACCAATTTTTTTTTTTAATTTCTCCTTTAATTTCCTCCTCATTTTATTTTCATAGACCGGGGACAACCTGGCCGTGACCAGGATATTCACAGGAAAAAGGAAATCCTGGATTGCCAGCTGGACATTCTCTCTCGGCAGCGTGCCATGGATAGATGTGATAAGAGGCAGCAGGTAGTTTAATTTTGCTTTGTAGTTTTTTTCATACATCTTCATTTCAGTGGAGGCTCAGTCCACAAGAGTTCTTCTTTCTAAACCTAATATACCTTTCTCAATTGTGATTGGAAGCAACATTTTCTTTCATCCCTCCAACCTCATGGCACTTATTGACCAATACTGTTAAAATAAGCCAGGAACTAATAGCCTTCCACCATGGAGGCATTTGTGTCTGTCATTAAGCTGTGTCAAAGTTCTAGATAAGGTAATATACAGACCTGGAACTCTCTAAGGCAGTTTGCAGGATCCTTCATTTACTTAATGGTCAGCTAGAGGGAATAGTCCTTTCTAGCTAACTGTAATTGGCACTTAAAAACTTTCATGAATTCATTTTCATGTGTGTTTTAAAGCTTAGATTTTTTTTTACCTTTAACCATGGAATTGGATACATACCGAGCAGTGTTGTTATGCTAAACAATCAGTTCCACCTTTTATTTAGCTGTGACGCTCATTATCTTTCCCAGACTTGAAGAAGAGCTGCGTGTAAGCTCGGAATCTTGTCTCTCTCACCAACAGAAAATGGTCCAATGAAAGATATTACCTCACCCACCTTGTCTCTTTACATATCAAGCAGTCAGACAAGAAACCTTTTTGTGACTGTTACACTTTACTTCACTTATAAGTCTCCCATCAATTTTTGCTTTAAACACTTGGTATACCTGTGTGTTGCAGCTACTTGATAGTAAATTACAATGCTTAGCTTCATGGAGACAAGCCAGTATAGTGTGTTTAGGAATCTAAATATCTTACGTTGTAGACAGCTCACAATTGTGTCTCTTTTCTAAGAAACTGTGGTTTGCGTATACAGGTGCACTTAGATATTAAAAGGCTGTAAGTTGAACATGTTTAGATGTTAGAAAACCTTGAGACCATAGGAAAACAAAGGAAATGTGCATTGTTAATTACTCTTGATACAAATATTTCAGTTCATATCTTTCTTTCAGAGTCAAAGGTTAGATGAGGAAATTGCCAGACTTTCAAGGGAGCGGCAACAACTCACTTCCCAACTGAAGAAGGTAGGAATCTTTCCTCGGGGCAACTCTTTAAAACAAACTTGGTTAATTTGTATAGATGCATCATCTTTTCATCTTTTACAAAAGAGATGGTTCTTGGTTTTGAGGTTGCTGGGAGGATTTAAAAGTAACTAAAGAAAACTTGAGAATGAAAATCCAGGTATATTTTGCTGGCAGGATTTTATAAAGAAACAGATGGGAAATGTGTTTAAAAATATATCATTAGTTTAGGGTGAATTTAAAATAATGATCAATCTACCCACTTGAGCATTGTTAGGAGCAACAGACTATTGGGGAGACATCTATTATATATGAACTTTTTCCCTCAGGACTCCTGCCGTTCACTACCCTGCTCCTAAACATCTGGTTGAAATACACTTAAATGTTTTTAAGCAAGTCAGCACACAGGAATTGGGGGAATTACTTGCCTTATGGAGAATGATGGGGTTATGTAAAGTAATTTGATATGCTCTTAGAGGTGGAAACACACTCTGATGCGGAGCTCTTTTACAAAAAGCAGAAAATAGGGCCAAACTACAGGCAGCTATCCCAGGCATCATGAAAGCTTAATCTGTAACAGATATAGGCTGTCTGACTCCCTACTTTGTCCTAAGGAGTTAAGGAATGTGGTGATGGTGAACTGATTTTAATACAACAATTATAAAGTCTGGATTGTATACATACAGACATAAAACTACATTTCCAATGAAGTTTACATCCTGTATAGCAATGTCTTGTAAACTACATAGAGATATTGTTGTGTTTGGGAGTCAGTGAGAGTAAAACCTTAGTCGGGCAGTTTTAAAATATTTGTTTCATGTTCATTTTCTTTTGGTATGAGCTAATATCCCTCCAAAGGAGCTGACTTCAGCGGAACCATATGTTCAGCTGTTTGAATTGCCCAAACTGGTAGATGCTGTTATCACAAGTCAAAACAGATAATTAAGAAAATTTTAACTCTGTCTAAAAGAAGCACGATATTAAGAGTCCTGCCCTTGTACTCAAAGGTCGGAGGGCGCCCTAAGGAAGTGCAGGCTAGCATCATCTTGGAGTCCCACATCATCTGTTGCACATTGAGCACAAGCGGAGGCTTTCTGCTGGAGTCTGCTTTTCACCGGCAAGGACATGACCCTTTCAGCTGTGTCATTGTGGATGAGGTCAGCAAAGCTTATTAGTAACTATAATCAGTTTAGTATTGATGGCAACAGCTGCAGCATGATATTTGGAAGGATGGGGAAACATCCATTATACGCTAACATTTTTTTTGTTGCGGTCTTTCTTCAATACTGCTTTGTGGCTTCTGATGATAAGCTCTCCTCAGTGCCAGAGCCAGACCATAATCCCCAAACTACCTTCTCTTCTGCTTACATCAGAAGGATAAGGCTACACACACTGTTTCTCAGCCAGTGGCCTGAGGCCTTTGTAAATAGGCCTTTTTTGTCCTAGTTATAAATAGCAACCATCTGAGTCCATGTTCTACCACTTAGCAAAGTCTGGGAGATCCCAGACCTGTGAAAGGCGAGAACAGTGTCAAAGTTCATTATTTCTATCATGTATCTGTTACTCAAGTGGGAGATTAATTTGAATTAATCTAAACCATTGGTTTTCAAACTATGGGGTGTGCCGCTGTGTGGGGGCACAAGGACCTGACTGGTTTTGAATTTTATCTTGTTTCTTGAAAATATTCCTCTCACTAGCTGAGTCTCCTGGTTCACCTGCTGCTGTGAGATTCTAAGAACAAGGAGGAGGGGAGGACTAAGAGTGTGGCCCCTCCCTTTGAAGGAGATTGGGGCGGGGGAGCATTCCATCTCGTTCACCTCTCCGGAGGCTGAAGTGCATGTGCCCTCTTGGGAGGTAGTTCCTGCCTGCACAGGCCCATGCACGTGTGCTTGGGATTGCACCAGAGCCAAAGGATCCTGTAGCCTGTGAGTGATTTTGGGAGTCCCAGGGGTGGGGACCTGGCTTCCTGCATATCCCAGGAAGGGGATGCTTGTGGGCCGGAGAGCAGCAGGTTGCCCTGGCCAGAATGGCCTCCCCAACTACAGACATCCGCAGGAATACTGTTTCTTAGAAAGAGAGGGATGCACATGGGACATGAATCTCTGAAGGTGAGCACAGCAAAAAAAAAAAAGTGTTGGAAACTTTCCAGATTGATGGGTTATAAATGGATCTGTTTTAGAGAGCAAGGAAGATTTGCTTTGCATGTAATTTCATGTTGAGAGCAATTTATTTTGGTTTTCTTCACTCAGATTTCTTAAGCAAAGCAATTCCCCCCCCTTTTTTTTTTTTAAACTTTGAAAAATAAATGTGTCTGTTGGGTTATTCTGGGTACATTACAGGAAATGTAACACTTATGTTTCCTCTTTTTGGCTTACAACTCCTCCTTCATTTATTCCTGCTTGTGTATATGAAAGGCGGGGCAGTCATGTGAGGTTGAAACTCTAATTCCACTGATTCATCGCTGTAGTAAACTTGTCCTTGTTGGAGATCCCAAGCAGCTCCCCCCTACTGTAATATCTATGGTAAGCAGATTGTATTTGTACCTTTGGTAATGGAGTTGTATAATGGAAATAGTGAAAGGGCAACAACATCTAGTAGCACAGACTGCATAAAAGTATGTAATCAAGGCTAGATGGGACAATTTGAACATATAGAATATATGGGGAAAAGGATGGTCCAGTGGTCAGAGCACTAGCCTGGGACTCAGGTGATCAAGTTCAATGCCCTGCTGTGCCACAGACTTCCTGTGTGATGTTGGTCAAGTAAGTCACTTAGGGTACGTCTTCACTGCAGCCGGGAGTGAGCCTCCCGGCGCAGGCCAGACACCCTAGCAGGGCTCATGCTAGCTTGCTAAAAAGAGCAGTGTGGACATTGTGGCTCGGACTGGAGCTTGGGCTCTATATTCCTATCTGTATGAGCCAAGAAAGGAGAAACATTAAATGTAATTCATACTGCACATGGCTTTCTTTACACCGGAAACTGCATGTTGGAAACTTTTCTTATTGGATAAATTAATAAGAAATATGACCTCATTTTTTTTCAAAAGATCCACTTACTATAAAGCTTCTGACTCTGATTAATGCCAGTAAAATTCTGCTGAAACGAAGCTGCAGACTTACTGACAAATATAAACTGTGAAAACTAAAATATAAATATCTGTAATGCTCTCAAACGCAATGGCTTGGTGGTGAGTTAAAGGGGTGAAAACAAATGTACAAAGCTGCAAGTTTAAGCCCATATTGGATTTCTTATGATCAAGTTTAAGATGCACCTAACTCCCCAAAAGTCAATCCTGTGTCTTGCCTCTGGCAGAAAGCTCAAGAGTATGGCTATGATCAGTCTCTGATGGCTCGCCTGCACAAACACCTGGAGGAACAGATGCAACAGTGTGTTATAGGGAAGCTGCCAGTTGTGCAGCTGACTATACAATATAGGATGCATCCTGACATCTGTCTCTTCCCATCCAATTACATTTATGGCAGGACTTTAAAGACTGACAGGTGGGTCACATTCTGTTCGTTTTGTTAGTAAGGGGTATTCCAGCAAAAACTAAACAGCACTTAGTTATTTTCCCCACAAATCAGTCAGTGTACTCCTTTGCCACTAGGATTTCTTTCCGAAAGAGGGAAACAGATGTTTGCATAACTGGCGTGGAAACTCCCATACCCTTCTTCCAGCTGTTGTCTTGGGATCATGAATTAACTAGATCATAATCTCAAAGGCTGGGCTAATTTTCTATCACCAAGAGCTCAGTTTCTTGCCTTGGTATACCTTGATGGCATAAGGAATCTAGAAGAGAAGCTGAAAGTCTCTTTCATTTTTTTAACCTGTAGTAAATAAGTGATGTATCCGTTCTCAGAACTCTTGATGGTTGCAATGGTGATAATTACAATTATTTACAGAGCAACAGAAGAGAACAGATGTTCTTCAGATTGGCTATTCCAGCCATACCTGGTCTTTGATGTAGCAGATGGCCACGAAAAACGGGATAATGAGTAAGTTCTTCATTCTCTTCTCCACCAAAATCTAAATCTGCTGGTATAATTAACTGCAGAATGATTTTTCATACATGGAATGTAGCCAAAGCTCCATTCTGAACTAAAGACCCAATGTTGACATTCAGCAGAGGGAGAATGTTGTTGCTCAGGGCACGAGTTTGGCATTTCTCTGATGTAAATATATTATCTTGCCTTTATAAAGGGCTTGGGTGTAAGTGATTGTATATCTGAGTAGAGTCAGGGCTATCCTTCCTGATGTAGTTATCTTGTAATGAACCAGAGACCCCGTGAACAGCCTGTTTACTACCTGGAATGAGTGTCATTAACTTTGTCAGGTGTTTTTTTCCTTCTAACTCTTTTCATATCCAGTTTGGGACCCACTTTCCTTTCTGTGGGTGCAGGGTAGTGTTTCACAAGTCTTTAAATGTAGTGTTGTTGTTGTTCAAGGTCACCTGCCCTTTCTCATTCCCTCTGCTAGTTTCCAGACCTTTCCATGGCTGTCCAAGGTCAATCCACGGTTACCTTTGAATGGCTCCAGTTGCTCCCACTTAGTTTGTGGGGGAGTTCCAAATGGTTCTCTGATTAATTCTCCTAGCTGCGCTCAACCCAGACCTTTAGACTTCTCCACATAAAGTTTGCTGGCATTTAGCTCTTCCACCGTGGTTTGTGCTGAATCTGAGTATGGTTCAAAGCGCTATTGTCACAAATACTTAGTTCCAGACAGGGAGTGGTAGTGTCAAACTGTCAGATGGCTCTGCTACATTGGTTGAGGAAACAAGGTTAAAAGAGAAATCCCAACCCACTTGCAGTTTAAAGTCCTGCTGTCTTCTAAATAAAAAAGCACAAAATGCATGTAGCACTGACTGTTTGTACTTAACTCTATGTCTTGCTCCTCATGCTTTCTTCATTCCAGTATTCAGACTGGTATGTCAACTGTTTTGTATCATTCTCGGAGAATAAACTCAGAACTGGTAGATAAGGTCCCATGTGAAGAAAAATCTAAGGGAAAAAGAGTTCAGGAGAGCTGGCAGTTTCTCAGGGAGACAATATTGAAGACATGACGACTATCTATCTCAATGTGAAAGGAAGTTAGGATGAATGGTATGGCTCCATCAGAAGCTCTTTAATAACCTGAACATCAAAAAGGAATCTTACAAAAAGTGGAAATGTTGACTAATTTCAAAGGAGGAAGTACAAAAGAATAGCACAAACATATAGGAACAAAATCAGAAAGGCTAAGGCACAAAATAAATTACATCTAGCAAGGGACATAAAAGGCAATAAGTAGTTCTTTAAATACATTAGGAGATGTAGATGAAGAAAAGTATACGTCCTCTACTTATCGGGGAAGGAGAGCTAATGATGATGACATTAGGAAAGCTGAGATGTTTAATGCCTATTTTGCATCAATCATCACTACAAAGGTAAATGGCAACCCGATACTCAACACAAGTAATATTAACATCAAGGAGGGAAGGAATGCTACCCAAAATAGGGAAAGAAAAGGTTAAAGAATATTTAGATAAGTAGGATATATTCACGTCATCAGGGCGTGATGAACTTCATCCTAGGACGCTTAAGGACCTAGCTGAAACAGTCTTGGAACTGTTAGCAGTTATCTTTAATAACTCCTGGAGGAGCGGTGAGGTCCCAGAAGACTAGAGAAAGGCAAACATAGTAGTTATCTTTGAAAAGAGTAACAAAGAGTGTCTGGGGAATTATAGTCCAGCCAGCCTAACTTGGATACCTGTCAAGATACTGGAACAAATTATTAAATAATCAATTTGTAAGCATCTAGAGATAATAGGGTTATAAGAAATGACCAACATGGATTTGTCAAAAGCAAATAATGCCAAACCAACCTAATTTCCTCCTTTGACAGGTTTCAGAAACTGTTCTTTGACAGGGTTACTCGCCTAGTGGACGGGGAGAAGCAGTAGATGTGATATATCTTGATTTTAGTAAGGCATTTGATATAGTCCCACATGAAATTCTCATAAGCAAACCAGCGAAATGTGGTCTATATGGAATTACTATAAGATGGGTGCACAACTGGTTGAAAGATTTATCAGTGGTTTGCTGTCAAACTGGGAGGACAAACCTAGTGGGGCCTTGTAGGGGTCAGTCATGGGTCTGGTGCTATTCAGTATATTCTTAGTGACTTGGATAATGGAGTGAAAGTATGCTTATAAAATCTGCAGCTTGACACCAAGCTGTGAGGGGTGCAAGGAATTTGGAGGGCAGGATTATAATACAAAATGACCGTGACAAATTGAAGAATTGGTCTGAATTCAACAAGATGAAATTCAGTAAAGACAAGTGCAAAGTACTTGACTTTGGAAGGAAAAATCAAACGCACAACTACAAAATGGGGAGTAATCGGCTAGGTGGTGGTAGTACTGCTGGGAAGCATCTGGGAGCATTAATGAATCAAAAATTGAATGAGAGTCAACAGTGTGATGCATCTGCAAAAAAGGGCTAATATCATTCTGGGGTGTATTAACAGGAGTGTTGTATGTAAGGCATAGCTGGTAACTATCCCATTCTGCGTGACCCCGGTGAGGCCTCAGCTGGAGTACTGTGTCCAATTCTGGTCTTTCTCCAATTTGTCCAAATCTTTCCTAAAATGGAGAGTCCAGAGGAGAGCAACTAAAATTATATAAGGTTTAGAAAAACTGACCTATGAGGAAAGGTTACAAAAACTGGGTGTGTTTAGCCTTGAGAAAAGGTGACTGAGAGGGGATCTGATAAGTCTTCAGATATGTTAAGGGCTGTTATAAAGAGGACAGTGATCAATTGTTGTCCATGTCTAGTGATGGTAGGACAAGAAGTAGTGGGCTTAATCTGCAGCAAGGGAAAGTAGGTTAGATATTAGGGAAAACTTTCTAACTACAAGGGTATTTACAGTGGAATAGGCTTGCAAAGGAGGCTGTGGAATCCCCGAGGTTTTTAAAAACAGGTTGGACAAGCTCCTGTCAGGTTGGTCTAGGTATACTTGGTCCTGCCACAGTGCAGAGGGCTGGCTTTGTTCATTTCTTGAGACCCCTTCCAGCCCTACATTGCTGCGATGCATGGGCGCAAATATAAATAAATGTTCATTTTTTGACAGTGTGGAATTTAATCCCTTGCAGCCTGGTTTGGTGTCCCACTTAGCTGCCAGCTCACACTGCTTACTCTAGAACTGTTTCTCCAGGCCCCTATGACCTCACTGACTTGCTTCTCCCTGCTGAATACTAAGGTTCTGCTTGTCACAAGACACACTTGCCCCCTCCCTCTATAACTTCCCCAGACATTAGAGTTCACATGGGACTGACAACAGAGCCTTTCACAGGAGATCTTCCCCACTGGTGTATGTCAGCCCTACCTTGGTGATTGCAGCATCTTTCATCCAGAGGTCTCAAAAGGATAAAGCATGAAGAGGCACAGTAAAATGAGCTGTGCTAAAGCAGTGAGTTTAACAATATATAAATGGTTTTGACATTGTTTTTCTTCCTCTTTATCTTGTTCAGCTCTTTTGCTAATCCCCAGGAAGTGAAGCTGGTGATGGAAATAATGAAATTGATTAAAGAAAAAAAGAATGATTTTGGTTTTCGTCACATAGGAATAATTACCCCTTACAGTGCACAGAAAAAGATGATTCAGCAAGAGCTGGACAGAGAGTTTGGAAGGGGCAGGTAAAAATACCCTACATGTTCTCACTGGGACTAAATCCTCTGGATGGACTCCTTTTGCTTTTCCTCTGTCAAATATTGCAGTAGGGTAGAAACTGTAATAGTTAAATTTTTTTGTGCTGAGAAAAAGTACTGACAATTGGCTGCAACTGGTTTAAGCTATTACAAGCATAGAGCAGCATTCAAAGCTTTTTCTCTTAATAGTGCTAGTGAGGTCCTTGTGTACCATTCTCTAGTTTGTATCTCTTTATGTGATCTGATTTATACAACCATTCAGAATAAAGTTGATTAAAGAGCACACTTCAAATGATTCCTGAACTACAGTGAACCTGAACAATATTCTGGTATAATCTTGGCGTCTGAAAAAGAAAGTGAATGTTTTCAGAAAGGAGGGTCATGCACTGTATCTTTTTTTTGTTAGAAATAGTTTAATTTAAAGCATGCATTATTTTAAGACGTTAAACTTTCATAAAAGTGGTTAGGTTATTGGGATAAGCACTTGGTTAAAATCCAAAGATGAAAATTTTAAACAGCTCAAAATTCCCCTCTCTCCTAGGGCGGGGGAAGTAGACACAGTTGACGGGTTCCAGGGTCGACAGAAAGACTGCATTATAGTGACGTGTGTAAGAGCGAACAGCACACAAGGGTCAATTGGGTATGTCTTGCCTTTTTAAAAAAAAGGGGGGGGGGGAGGGGCGGAATTGGTGACTTGAAGTCTGCACACACCTAGAGAGACTTTACTGACTTGTGCTCTCTGCAGAACGTCAGTAAGAGAACATCAGGGAGATAATATCTGTCTGGTGTTTTTCATCTCTGCCAGCCAAATTAAGCATCCTAATGGTCAGTTCACCCTCACCTCACCCCACCCCACTGATCTCCTAAAAGTGGTCTGGACAGGAGGTGCTATAGAAATACCTAACTCTTATGTAATTCTTTTCTTCAGTAGATTTCCAAGCACTTCGCAGTCTTTAATGTATTTCTTCTCCCAGCACCCCTGTGAGGTAGGGCAGTATTATCCTCATTGTAGAGCCGGAAACTGAAGCACAGTGAGGCTAAGTGATTTGTCCAGGGTCTCACACAGAGTCTGTAATGGAGCAGGGAAGTAAACCTGAGTCTCCCAGTGCAACGTATAATAATCTGCACTGAGCACAGATGAACTTGCATGCATCCTTTGGTTTTCCATTTTAATTGTCCGTTTAGTTTGAACAGAGATGATACCCGGGTAACTGATGGCTGTGTATCTTTCTTCATGCTATTAGCACTGCTGTGCAATCTCACAAATTATACTCTCATGACTGTATATTGCAACTTTTTGATGTGCTGATCTTTCTTTCTTTTTAAAAAAAAAATTATTCATGATTATGAATGAAAGTGACCTATTTATATAGCACTTCCAGTGCCAAAGTATTGCTAAATAGGGCAGTGGTTTATAAATATGATTCAGAAATAAGATAGATGGTTCCTTCATAGGTGAAATGGGCTTGTTCGCATGACTGATAAGGGCATAAAAAGACTCAATTCTAGGTCACTAGTTCAAATAATTCCAGATCAGTAATGACATAATGTCATTCCCAGCTGACAGCTGTTTGATCCAGTGAAAGGAGACTCCGTTCCAATCTTAATGCTTGTGTGTTTGCATCACAGAAATTGCCATCACAGTTGGCACTATTTTACTGGTAGTTGCAGCAGTAAAGACAATAAACTGTTAAAAGGACATTGGTACTGAACCATCTTGAGAGGCAGTGTGGTGTAGTTCAGTGATTCTCAGGGTGATCTGTGAGGAGCTGACTGCTCACATGAAGCTAATTCTTTGTTTCCACCTGCTAAATTGCATTAAGATGGATAAAAACATGTAAAATGCTCCCCTGATCATTTTCCCCATAGGCAGTTGCTAGTGGATGATCACATGGATGTTATGTGATCATGGAGATGGTCTGCACAGGCATGACTGGGAGGGCAGATGGTTCATTCTCCGTTGAAATGTGGGTCTAAACAATGAATAAATTTGAGAATCCCTAATCTAGATGATTGTTTGGGAATGGGAGCCAGGTGTAATTCTGGTGCTGTTATTGGCTGGCAAGTCACTTACCCTCTTTGCTTCAGTTTGCCCCTTTACAAAGGTTACTAGCTCACCCAGCTGTTGAGGCTTTATTTGTACATTGCTTTGGCAATAAGATGCTCTTTAAGTTCTAAGTGCTTGTCTACATGAACAGTTAGACCACTCTACCCCGCGCTAGCCTGCTACAGTCTAATTGTCCCTAGGGATGCCGCTGACATACATTAACAGTTCATTAGACCGCTTTGATCTAGCCCTCTTTGAAATGGGACTAGCTGAAAGCGCTCTAACAAACTGTTAACATGTATCAGCAAGGGTGTATGTAGACAGACCACGGCAGGCTGGTGTGGTGTAGATTCACACCCCAGCTTGCTGCAGGCTAATTGTTCATGTAGACAAGCACTAAGTATTAATCACTGCGGTCTCTTCAAACCACATTGGCAAGGTGTTACGGGAAATTTGCACCACTGCTGCCTGTGCTGTAGATTTATTTTGTATTGCGCAGAGGGGCTTTGATCTCTAGGGTAACCAGTCCAGTGGTGAATTCACTGAAAAGGTGACCTGCAAAGGGAGAAAAACGCTGTCGAAGAAGTGACACTGAAATGATATTTTAATTGGGAGAGAAGAGACCCATTTAGATTTTTTTTTACCTTAAAACTATCAGGAATATCAAGTTGTGCCTTCCCATTTTTTTTGCTGGAGAATTGCATGGTGTCTACATTAAGGAATTTTACCTCAGAAATTCCACTGGTGGGAGCCCTAAGATAGGTTGTTCTCTGGGTTGCAATGTTTTTACTATCGTGTGTGTGAAACTGCTGAAAAATAGGACTCATTAACATGTTGGTAACACCAGGTATTGCTGTGGTACCTGTTCAGCTAAATTGGTGTCAGCTGTGATGAGACTTCCTTTTGCAAAATTCTTTGTGTAGAGTAGGCTCTGGAGTTGGGAGCTTTTTCAGTCCTCATTGGAGGAGGAGGAGTGGGTGTGTGCTAGTCTTTAACAGAGAGCTTTTCTCCGCAAGGTTCATCAGGAGTTTGAATTAAGTAGGTGCTAACAAAAATTGAACTTTAAGCAATGAATAAAACCTATAATTCTGTTATCTGTATAGCCCTGGGGCAAAAACAGGGTAGACAAGATGTAATATTTCCAATGTGAAAACTTCTTTGTCAAGGAACAAAAATGTCAGGTCTCAAGAACCATGACACAGCAAGAACGGCACAAACTGTGTGTTTCTCCTTTGCGGGTCACCTTAAAAATAAATAAAATATTCAAGCACAGTGTTGAAATATTAAATAGAACGTTTTCACATTAATCATACCAAATATTATTAATCTATTTCAGTTCAAGTCAAAAGGAAGCTCAAAGTCTTGACAGGAGAAATAAGTTTGATCTCTTCCATCTGTGAGTCTGTGCAGGGAAGGGAAGTGGCAGAGGGAGTAGGGAAACTTTGGAGACTGTTTTAAGGTGAAAGGAGAAGTAGTGGCTACGAGTGGGACTGGAGATACCATTGAGAAGGGAAGGAGCAGCAGTAGAAGCTGAGGGAAGTGAGATTGTCTACAGGGGATTGAAGATGGCAAAGGGAGTCTGGGTAACAACCAAAGTGCCTTGTTCAGGGGAGGGCTGGCTGCTGTAGTGGGAACGAGGGATGGAGGAAAACCCACCTTCTTTGAAGTTAGCATTTGTTTGTATTTCAGCAATTGTCACTTCTTAAAAATAAGAACTAAAGTTCAGCTAAGAGTGTTGGAAGAACTAGTACAGCGACTTAATTTTGTTTCATTATTTAGGTTTCTGGCAAGTCTTCAGCGTCTGAATGTTACAATTACTCGAGCAAGGTACAGCCTCTTCATCCTTGGAAGACTGACAACGTTAATGGTAGGTATAATATTGTATTCCGGTGAATCTCTGCCTGTTCTCCCTGTTAGTTCAGGTCAGGAATGAGAAGTGAAAGCCATTCCCAACCCATCCTTGTGTGAAAGAGTCGTCTATGTTGGAATCAGGTTGTTCAGTTAAAGCGATCCAATGGTGTGAAAGCTGTTCTTGGGCAGAGTCAGTTGTCCTTGTCTAATACACTGCCACAGAAGGCTTTCTGAAAGGAGAGCTGTATCCATTGTTTCAAGCCAGGCAGGTGAGATGTTTTTCTCTAGAAAGGCTTGCAATAAAATGTAACAGTAAAAAATACTGAAAATATGAGGGGGTAGGTAAATCGTCTCCCCAGTGGCAGCCTGAACGAGAGCTGGCACTGGGAATCGCCACACCCTGAGGGTCAGAATCCTCTCCTTTCTTCCCCCCAAAAGCCGAACAATAAACCCAACGAAGCTGCCTTCCCCAATCCTAGTGACTGCTTCAGGTAGGGAGAAGACCAGAGGACCCACCAGCCCCAAATGCTCCCCCGATCTGCTCCCCATACCCTTTATAGCAGAACTGCACAATATCTCCTGACAGTGCCCTCCATGCCTGAGGAAGAGTTGGTTTTTCACTCTGTAGCATATGCTGAGAATGCAAATTAAGCATAAAAAGAGGCCAGTTCAGTTCCAGACACTGGCTTATTGATGTTGTCCTGTTCCCCCCTTTGCTTCCAGAATTTTAGATCCTAGGCATGGTGGGGTAAAGTAAAGAGGAAAAGGGGAAGATTTTAGCTTATTTCATTGGGATCAAGTGTACTGCACTTGACCAGTTTTGAGGTTACTAGTCATTGTAATAAGAATCAGGACTGCTGGGACAATTTAACTACTGTAGCTGGCATTTCTCATTCAGCAGAAACTCAGTAAATGTCCCTGTTCTCATGATATTGTTCTTGTATATAGTGCCTTGTTTCTAATAGGATCAATCTAATAAACCATTAGATTCTACTCATTTAGTAAGCTAAAATGTCTTTTTGAATTTGAAATTTTTAAAGGAACAGTTTCAGCTTTAAAAAAAATCACACTTTTGTCTGAATTTTTACTTACACATTTCAAGTAATGCCTAAGATAACCATCTATTAGTTCAGTTTGTTTACCTTTTGCACAAAATGCTATCAAATGCACAGTCAGTTTCCCTGGGACAGTCAGTTTTCCCTGCATGTGGGTCTTTTACACAGAAACAGCGGAGAAAAATATTTTTACAAAACAAGAAAATGTGGCTGGGTAACGACAGAAATTGGCAGGGTGAAATCTGGAGCAGATGTAGTAATTGAAACTGCTTAAATTCACCTTTTAAAAATTGCCTATATTTGAAGTTGATGTCCCTTAAACCAGTGGTGTGCAAATTTTTCGAATCGCGCCCCCCTCCTTTACCATTCAGAGAATTTGTCTTGCCCCTCCATTACTTGTAATCTAAAACTTTTTTTGTGCAGAAGTAAGGGTGGCAATGTGAAAAATGATATTTGTTAATATCACTTTCCACAGAACACTTAGCACCTCATTGCCAGCAGCAGCAGAAGTAAGGCTGGCAGTTGGGCGCTAGTAAGTCTGCTATGAAAAGTGATATTGAGAGTTTCTTTGAACCCCCACCTCTTCCCCAGTTTGCACACCACTGCCTTAATTTTTCGAAAAATATATTCTATTACTGTATCTCATGCAGCACTAGGGGGCAATCACACCATATTCTTGTGTTGTATTTGGACAAGGTCAGAGGACCGCTGTCCTGACAATCCTAGTTACAGGAGCTGTCATTTTAAATGAGTTTGTTCAATGATGGCTAAAAGTATCCTCTCTGTTATAGCAGTGGGATGCTTTATTGCTTTTTAATGAAACTTTTACTAAAAATCCTTTCATCCCAGAGCAAGTGTACATACAGTTCCTGCGACGGCTATAGGAAGTGAGGTTGCGTGGATTTAAAATGGGACCACATGCATCCTGAGATCCCTGTGTGTGCAGGTTTCTTTTTGCTAACTATTTTTCTTCTTTCAAGGAAAATAAAGACTGGAATAAGCTGATTCAGGATGCTCAGAGAAGAGGCGCTATCATCAAGACTTGTGACAAAAACTATAAAAAGGATACTGTTAAAATTCTGAAGCTCAAACCAGCATTACAGCGGCCACTCTCCTATCCTCCTACTGCTGCACTGTCAGAGAAAGCTACTCAAGTGCAGGCGTGTTTGGGCAGCGATGGGAAGAATAAGGTCACCAACAGAAAAAGCAGCGATGACTCTAGAAGACTCTCTGCCAGTGCTGGCCTGTCAGCACAAGGCAGTGGAGTAGTCCGACAGCCCGCAGAGTCTCAAGTTTTGGGTTCTAAAGGAGTCACTCTTCCCACAGCGGTGCAGCCTGCTGTTCGAGAGAGACCTCGGGATCCAAGACTGGCTAGGAGGACAGAAGCGACAGGGAAGGAGCAGGCCTCCAAGAATAGCAGTCCATCAGCCCTGAGCAATCCAGATGTGACATTGTCACGGGGACCTGATGCATCTTCAGCCCACTGGGGTCAGATCAGCACTGTGCCGCCTCCTGTCTCCAAGGCAGAAGATTTGAACAAGACCAACCAAACTGTAAGACAGCCAGACATGCCTTTCACTGCTTCCCATACAGCCAGGCAGGACCATGACTGGAGAGTTTCTGTCTCATCAAAAGAGGCAAGAACTGTCAGTAAAGAAGACCAGAAAGGTAATGAGTGGACCAAAGACAAGGACTATCGGACCCCTGCAAGCAGAAGAGCATCGGAACAACCCCCGGAGAACAAAGACTTGAGTGAGGCCAAGAAGAGGAAGGTCTCCTATTAGCTGAAATCTTTCTAGGATCAGCTGCAGCTGGCAGCCTTGCCCCCACTATATAAGCCCCTTCAAAACCTATCCCCCAGCCCTTAAAAATATGGACTATATTAAAAACAAAGTGTCTAGTTCACCTGGAACTCCTTCATATTGCTACTTTTCTACTAACAGATCCATTTTTTTCCATCCCATCACTGGCTGTTGGGTGAATTCATACCTGAGAAATGATATCCTTGGAGCTTTTGAACTGAAAAGTTGGGTAATTGCTCCATATGTAATGGCAGTAAGTTTGAACTATGATCCTAGGAAGTGAAGTGGTGTAAATGTTGAACAGATGTATATTTGTACAGCATACAAAATTATTTTAAGATTTAATTCAGCAAGCATATTGCTGCTTGTTTCCATACCCAAAACTAATTTCAGAGTGGAGCACGTTTTTTTAATTAAAAAAAAAAAAACTGAAAGAAAACTTCACCAGAGATCTTTGGTAAGTCTAGTTTCTTTAATCGCAAATGGGACATTTTGAAAAGGCTGAGAGGATGGTAACAGGTCAGATCGTTTTTGATTCTTTCTGAAATTCCACTGGTGCCTCATGGAAGACAGTCGGGGGGGGGGAGAGGTGGAGGGGGGCCTGGAATGTTCAACAGAGAATTCTACATATGGGGTGTGTGTGTGTGTATGTATATATATTTTTTTATTTCTCTTCCCACCTTTTTCATAGGAACAAAATATCCTCGGTTCATGCAGATGTGCCTTGAGTCTTACTTTTGCTCCTTATTCTTCACTGCTGTCCTTAGCCATGTGATTGGGACGTCCGTTTATTACAGTTTCAGAGTCTATAACTGGCTCAAGGCTCTGAGCTCCCACTGAAGTCAGGAGTAGTTGAGGACAGTCAGATTGCGTGAGCCTGGTTAGGTCTATTGGCTCCAAGTGAGGAATAAGCAGCAGAAGTTTTTGAAATCTTAATCAAAGATCCAGTCAATGCTTGATGATGATACTTGGCTTGCTTGGTAACCGAGCACTTTGAGATCTGCAGAGATGAAAAGGGCTAGCTATGTAAGAGCTAAGTATGATTACTACTATTACTGGATTCTGTTTACTCTGTAGATGTAGAATATCTAACTGGTAAATGAATAAAACTGCAATAACTTTTTTTTTAAAGCCCTACTCATGTGCATGTTTTCATAACAAAATTGCAAGTGGAGTTGTTTCTAAATAGAATGTGTTCAGATTAAGGCATCAGTTGCTCTTTCAGGAATATGGTGAATGTCTAAGTGTATAAAGAAAGTGAATAACACCTGTTAGGCATGCTATCTGTTTTGCATAGAGACAATACTGAGCTCATACTTTGTGTATGTTTATTTAGCACTTTGACGATCTGTCATTGGCTAGAGCCAGAAGTAGTGTGGGCAAGCAAGGTGCAGATTTTTTCTGTGGACCTTTGGTGATAATGCAGCTCATTTTCAACTTGCAAATACCCCTACTATGGCTGTTCTAAGTTTGATCTGAGAAGAGATTACCATGGTACGCCGGATCACTTTGTGTTGTTGACAAATGACCTCTCAGGACTAGAACGAAGCCTCAAACGTGCTTTTATATGTGAGCTCTTGTGAGATAGAACCCAGCTTTCTTAAGATGCAAAATTAAGACCTAGCTCCATTAAATTAATGGGAGCCGGTTCTCAGCACATCTACTGAATGACTTATGCCCACCACTACACACGAGTATTTTGATTCCATTACCGTGCTGGTCTTTCCAATTTCACCACAACATAAGAAAATGAACTCCACAAGACTGCCATGGGCTAAACAATTGTGCCAGCGGTATTGTTTAGGTCTCCCTCCCGATACTTTCATTGCAGTGATTAATGTTGCCTTTTTCCTTTCATACTGACAAACAGCTGCGTGGTGGTGGTGTCACAGCAAAATATAGAGATGACATAACTGCTGTAAGAATAATAGGACAGTAGCCTACATGGTAAACTGTAAATTGTACTGCTATGAATTCACCTATCCAAGCTTGAGATAGATGTGCTTTACTAGTGACAGCTGAGTGATAGGTATTTTGAAGGCTATATCTCCTGTATCTGCATGGCACAGCTCATGACCTGCTGTTCTCTATTACAGTGATGGTAAAGAGAATAAATGGGCTAAATTCTGCCCTTAGATAAGCACATGAAATGAAGCCAATAACAGATGTTGGCACACAATTTGAGAGCAGAATTTAACCCCAAAGCTTTGTTTAATGGTGTGTACTACATTAATTGCCAGTGTACCTTAAACTGTCATGAAAGTTGTTCAGAGTAGTGTATGATCTAACATGCGTTTTCAGGGAGTAGAGCTGTTGGAATGAGCCACTTGTTGTCATACATTAGTGATCTCTGCATAACTCTTAGCTGAGATTCATTCCCTGTGTGTATCTATATCTAGGCTAAATCGGAACACTTTGAAATACTGTCTCCCTTATAACCCTATTGTATCGGTGCAGAATGGGTTAAAAAGGCAGGGTTACTCAGCAAACCTCTGTAGTTCCTATAGCTACGGAAACCATGCAGTGTATATTCATGTAAAAAAACTGAAGACACAGTCAGTCTGAATCAGGGAATGCTGTTCTGACAATTAACTGGAAACCTGTTTGTCATGCAAATCTTAGAATTCTTCCAGTCTCCTGTTTGTCAAATCCAGAACGTAAGTGCTATCCTGAAAAGGACACTTGTCAGGTGCTGGAAGGAATTTTATTCTGATGTCTTACGTTGCCTTTGTGGCATTACATCACCCATGCTTTGTATATTTTATATCTCCTGTCTCTATATAGGGAGAAGTGATGAGCTGTGCCGTTTTCGCTATATAGGGATAAGTGGCTTGTGCGTGCCTATCTGTACCCAATAAATCCTGTATTACATGCACTATTGCTTAGTGGAGTTGTATAACTTCTCAATAAACTGTTTGATTGAGAGACTACAGTACCATTTCAGTTTACTCCCTCAGCTGATACAAGGTTTTATTGCCTTTACTTGCTTTGTATCTGTCGCTGTTTTGTCCATCATTTCTCTGCACCGGCTCATTCCTGCCACATCAGTTTGTTAATGCTATATTTTGTTTTTGAATAAAAAAATGTTTGGGTTGAGTTTGCTCTTTATGTTAAGCATTTTTCTCTTTATGCATAGCCCAGAATTGGTTGCTTTGATTAAAAATGAGAGTTCATGTGGAGTAGATTAATCGCTTTTAATTGGTATTTTTCTTCCAGCTAGATACATAACACTTAGTGTAACCAGCAGGCAAAGTGTGATCCCAGGCACTTTCTTCACTTAGAGAGTTTAGACTAAATGTATTACAAAAATAAAACCTATGCCAAGATGCACACTGATAAGGTGCAGTTTTAACTTATTTTCACCTCAACTGTTTCTTTTGCTCATGCATCATATAATCAACCTTTTAGTAGAGACCGATGAACATATATGCAATCTGTATTATGTTGTCATTTTGTTTTCTCCTCCTTTGACTGATCTGGCCAATCCCTCAACTATGCAAGTAGTCTTGTACTATTCCTTCTCACGTATTCCTGTTTCAGAACTAGTAAGTGGCAGAATAGCCATTGGAAGACCCCTGTCCTCTTGCACGTGTATTGCTTAGATGAATCATTAGTGAATGTGTGGAAGACTGACTGCATGTATTTTAATGTAAAGCAGTTTAATTTCATCTTTGGACCAAATAAGTTTGGAAGAAGAAACTTGAAATGTAAATCAATGGCTTCTGTGTGGATTAATTTTCAATGCTATGGTGGCTCCTTTGTGGTGCTGCTTGTCATTTGATATCTCTGAGTAATAGAATGGGAATCCCTTGTGCTTTGAATATACTTTGTCCAGACTAGGTGGAAGAGAATTGCACTTGCAGGAGAATCAGACACTGTCTGTTAAGGTGGTATCCAAACATTGCCTAATACAGGTATCTTCCTGTTGCAGATTTCACTGCAGTTGTACAGGATACAGCACCATAACCTCAGTCTGGCACTCAAGATCCCTCCCTTGGGATCTATACAGAGGTCAGATTTACTAGCCAGATAAAAGCAATAACCCAGTTCAGGAAATGTAGTCATACCTAGTACCTTAACTTTGTCACTTGCGTGAAGTGCTTGGCATTTGACTTACAAGTGCACCCAAAGCCTACTTAACTAAACTTACTGGGGGGAGAGGAGAGGTGGAAGGGGTCCACATGAAATTAAAAAAAAAATGTCCCACTGTCGGTAACACAGGCCCAACTCCACTGGTGGTAGCAACATTAGGTGCTCTGTAGTAGACAAGGCTCTCGTGGCCATGTATTTTTTACATTTTCTGTCTAACTCTGCTTTGACTAGATCCAAACCGCACGACACTAAAAACATCAGCAGCACCCATGGCCTTGTCTGCTTTAGAGCTCTCAATGCTGTTCAAACTGGGAAAGTGGTGGAAGAATTTTCAGAAGAAAACTCTAATGTAGACAAGTCGCGTGTGGCTTGCTGATTTGAAAGCAATTTGGTCCAGTGGACAAAACAAAGGACTGGGCATTGAGGTATCAGGGTTTGAGTTGTGCTACTGACTCAGAGGGTAACATAGGGCAAGTCACTTATCGCCTGTTGCCCAGTGTCTAAAATGGAAGTAATTCTTCCCCTTCTTTAGAAAGGGGCTTGATCTCTACTGATGCTATGTCAGTGCCAAGTATTGTGTATTTCCAGGTCAAAAAATGTGATGAGGCTCTAGAACATGTACCAGCCAATTAAGGGTAAAGCAAGATTTATAAGTATGTTGTAGTTACCTTTTTAAAGTAAGTGTTAAAAACCCAGGGACTTCACAGTCTAGCTTTTTTTTTTTTAAAGCAACCATTTGAATGTGCAAGCTGATACCTGTACTTTAAAATTAGGGCATAACATTGTTCTAGTAGTTGACAGCTGAAGGCTAGTTGGTCATTTGCAGACTCTGTTTATACCACAACAACCAGAACCATGTTTCTAAAATTGCAAAACACTCTCCTCTACGCTGCATGAATAAATAATTCAGAGATGAAACAAACTCTGCTATATTGTAATTGGGATTTATGGTGCTAAACCATAGAATACAACTCCTATCCACAAAGGCTCCATTCGCAAGTCATATATAAGGCCTTTCTAAATCCCTGGAAAAATCCATTGCACTGTTTTCAGTGCAAATAAATCTAAACTAAGCAGGGTGTTGTACATTAAATGCCTCTGAAAGATGAAGCCTGTTAGCCATGTGCTCCTGTCTGCTAAGGTCCAGACTCCCTTCCCATTAGTGCCCAGGAAGCTCCAGGGGAGTGAGAGGTGAATATATCTTGTACACTTGTTACACCTGGTATGGTTCAGCATATCTTAAACTTGCTTTCGAGACTGGCGTATGTGACACTGTCCAATGCAATCTTATTTAATTGCTGTATCGAGTAGAGAATTTGCTCTTTTGCAGTGGGATTCAGAGCAGTTTGGCCTTGAGAACCGTCATTGATTTCCGCTCTCTCCCCCCTTTAAACTCCCAAATCACTGCAGAGTCTATCACTCCTGCTCCTGGCTAACAGAGGGTCACTTTAGAGCCACTGCAAAATTTTCAGGAATGGAATTTAGACTTCCCCACCATTATGGCCCATGACAACAGATTTTTGACTTTCCTGTCCCCCCTTCTTCCCCTTTACGCTCGCCCACCCCAAAACCAGCGCTTTCCCTGGGCAAGCAAAACTAGACAAGTTTATTTTAGAGCAACTTGAAACTCTCCTCTGCCCCTGGTGCCTAAATGTGCCACTCCCAACCAACACTTACGTGGCTCCAGCAAAGCACTCCAGGTTTGGCCGTGGACTGGGAACATTTCCTAGAAGATGCTGCTTTTTAAGTATCTTTAGTGCCGAACTCTTATCTTATTTAGAACTCAGAAAACACTGAGCTTCTGTTTTTATTTACACTTGGGACATTTCATGAAAGCCAATTAAAGCACAGAATGTTGCTGATGGGACAAAGTGCTGACAGCATGTGCTGAGTCCCTTTCCCTTTTCAGGATCAGCCTTTCAGATGAACTGTCAGTTTTCTAACCATTTAAAAAAAGAACTGCCCTGTGCAGCGCTAACAAATTCTAGCAAATGTAGATTTCCCCTGTCTTCAGCTGAGAATGAACACGGTTAAAAGCTTTCTTGGGTGAGTGAATTTGTGCATAAAGCCAAACTACTGTTGATTTTTTTTCTGTAGCTATGGTGATAGATTCATACTGGCTGCACTGTTTAATCATGCCAGACAACAGGTCTAGGATTGCAGATTTTTTGGTGGCTTTTATTTGGGTAAACAGATTTGTTATGACACCACCAAATAGTTAACGTTGGAATACAATTGGAGGTAAATAGGAAAAACAGAGGTCTCTCTGAATGCTTGTTTAAAGAGGTCAGCATTTTGCAGACAGGTATCATTTTTAAAATAAACAGGCAAACCAACTTAAAACATTAGTGTGAGTAGATTTTTCAGGAGGGTGCTGGTGCCTTTTAAGGATTTTTCTGTTAGCCTTCCCATAACCAATATTCCCTTCCCTTCTTCCCCCTCCCCTCATTTAAAAGCATGAACTGTTGCTGTATGAATGTCTGCAGCTTCTCTATGGGTCTTCCAGAATGTGAACGTTCATCAGTGGCCTGTACATAAGATGAAGGATGTTTCTTCTTTTTGTATTACGGTAAAGCTATTTCTCCTTTGCGTGGATCCCTGTCTTGCATGTTACCTTTTGTCAATACGCTCAAAGCATTGAAGTTCTCAAAGCTTTTAAAAACATTTCCTTTTTAAAACACTGAATTTAAGAGGTTGGGGAGATGCGTTTCCAGTCGTGTGTCCTTCCTGGCTGCAAGGATGCTAAATTTAAAAATGAAAACAGGCTTTCGAAAACAAGACCAACCAGCGCAGCTTTGAGTCTGTCTTTATGATGGGATCAGAACTCCTCCCTTTGCATTCAAACTGGCTATTTGGAGTTGTCCTAACCCAAGTCCACGGATCATTTAATTTGCCTTTGAGACAATCCCTTGGTGTCCGTGTTTTCCTAGGGTTAGATTACTTGAGCGTGGCATCCGCTTCTGTCTAGGCAGGTATTTATAAAGAGCCCAATACTAGGTTATAGGTACCAGGCTTTTTTCCATTTTCTTTTGCACCATGACTTCAGCAGCTGTAAAGTGTGTTGTATCCCCCTTGTGGCTACTCTAAAGGATAACAGCCTACTTTTGTTACTAGCTAAGGAGGTGCTGCTTCAGCTCAAGTTATAGAAGCCCGTGTGTTGGTACTGAAGGTACATGGTCTCAACCCTGCTGCCAACCTGTGGTGAGGGGGTCATAACATTTCTGCTTATTTCCCTCTAAAGCCATTCAAGGAAGCCAGTGACCTCTTTTTAATGATGCTGTCTAATGCAGTACTGCTCCTGTCCAGCAGCCATTTGCACACAGTCTCTAGCTGGTCAGTTCCCAACAGTGCCACCCTTGATTGTTTCCCCCCTCCCCCCATGGAAGTTTTGTGTTGCTGTTATAAATGTTCTGACTTCCGTTGCAATAAAGCCACTCGAGCACAGAGCGGGGGCTCCAGTAGCTGTGGAGTCTGTCTGGGGAAATGGTTTTATGAAGTAGTAAATTATTTGCTGTTGCTTATAAATTTAATTGCCTAGAGAAATAGTAGTGCTTGGAAAGGGAAATGTGTATTTCCCCCTCCAGATGTGCTTTTAAGGTCTGGATTTAGTTATAGTCTCTCCTATAAAAACGACTTGCAAGAATTGTAACTCATGGGGACTGTGTCTGGTAGAGCAAGAAAGAATGATAGCAACAAGCAGCATCTAGCCAGTTTTAGACAACGTACAGCTGCACCAAGGAAAAGGAGAGAATGCCTCTGCCAACAAGTTCATGAAGTTGGCAATACTTAAAGCCCCTGTACCTAAAAGGGTCAATTCAACCCTTCACCCCTTCTATGGTGGATTGAATCAAGTTCCATGCTCTCCGTATGTGGGATCTTTCATATGAAAAAATAAGCTCTCAAAGCAAACAAGACCTTTTGGATTTAATGATCCTATCCTACTATTTTCATTGAAGGACAGAATTTGTCCTGTCTCAACTCAAGTTTTCCCCCTTCTTTTACAAAATAGTGGTGCTTTGCCCTCCTCCACTGCAGCAGTGGCTGCATTTCAGTGGTTCTAGTTGTATATAGTTTCTGAAATACGGGGCTGAAAGATTCTAAGTGTGTTGTTTTCAGACCTGGAATACTCCCACTGCTGGGTACAAGCTATGGCTGAGAGCCACGAAGTGGGGAGGAGGAGCAGTTCCTATATGAAGAGTATCGAAACAGGAGAGATGTTGATCTGGGAAAGGGCAGTAGCATGATACTTTGGGTAAGAATACCAGAAATGGACAATGCCAGTGGCGGACTGATGGAAAAACAACTTCTGGGCTACCTCTCAGGCTGAAACCAGAGCATTGAAGTTGCCCAGAGAGCGAGAGATCTAAAGTGTTCAGCTGGGGGATCAAACTGCTTGCTCAGTTTGCAAATTGTCATGTATTGCCTCAGAATTCTCCGGCCCCCTTCCATGTGAATGGCTTAAAATACTTCCTCCTATTGGGGCATGTTCATGAGCTTTAAATCTTTCCATATTTGAACTAACACCTGTGAGTTTACAGGAAAGCCCAAGGTTGTGGCTGCTTCGAGTTAATATTCAAAATAGAGATTGTCCTCTGGCAAGCGTGCATAGCTGAACCAGTGTCCCGCACCTATTAGCAGAGTGTCGAAACAGCTGGTTCCCTTTGGGAAAACATCCCAATGCTGCCAAGCAGCAGCTTTTCCTGCCGCAGCGTCCCTTTGAGAAGACATCTGAAGAAGAGACCAACAGTCTCTGTAGATGCCAAATTAAAACCAGTCTTTGCTCGTAGCTGTTAACCATCCCTGATTACAGCCAAGCTGACCTTTTCAGCAAGGTGATTAAAAAAAATTCCTTAGATCTTAAACACACAACAAACCCCCAGAGATTGCACCTTGGTATTTGAGTCAGAAAACACAAGAGAACATCGTGTATCAAAAAATAAGTCTTTACCTGCAATTAACTCTGCACGCAAAGGAAAACATGGTGGTCAAGCAGCAATTAATAGTTGCTTTACTGTCAGGATTATACACCAGAATCAAATGCTCATGGTAAAATGTCCCTTTAGGTTGTAGTCCTTTTATAGCATTTAATTCAAACAAAAATAATTCTCTACCAAAAAAGTATTTGAACCGTACACTATACGGAAATGCCTGGATAAGACGTTGCACTCTGATATACCATGCGCACAATGGCCTTTTTGTTCTGGTCAAGTGCAAGAAAAGGAAATAAAAATCCAACAACAAAAATACAAAACTTAATAAATTCAGCAACTAGATTTGTAGGCAACGGTATCTCTAGGGCCCGGCCAAGTCAACAATGAAACATGGGACTATGCAGCAAGGATGGACCAAAGAGTCCCCAGGGATGCCTTGGACTCCAGTCTCTGGTGCCATGGGGCTCTGGAGCAGTTAGGACTGGCTCTTTCAAAACAAGAAAGAAAATGAAACTACTGAAAAGTTTAAAAAAAAATCCTTGGATTGCGGCACTGTTTTGGCAGGGTCCCCTATGCCCTGGAACCAGAGCCCCCTGTGCAAAATGGGGAATGAGTCACTGCTTTTAAGGAAGTGTGTGTGACAGGAGTCCTTTCTAATGACAGCAAGGTACTGCAGCTTCTGCACAATGGCTGTCACAGTTCTCTCCCTGCAGCTCAGCAGCCAAGTCCATGCTGCGGCTACCTCTGGCCAGGGCGCGGATGTTGGAGCAAGGCTGCTGCTGGTGGAAGGACAGGAGTCAGCCCCTGAGATGCTGTAGCTCTCAGTGGACAGGGGACTGAATGACGTCATGGAAGTCCTAGAGTAAAGGAAGGCTGAGGAGGTGATGCTGTGGAGGGCTACCTATGACCTTAGTCTCCTAGCCTCCCCCGGGTGATGCACCTTGACTTGGCTCCCTTGTGTTTGCAATTCAAAAGTCCAACAAGCGTCGCAGCTGGAGGATGAGAGCACTGATGAGGAAGGTGGTTAGGTTGAGGTATGTGCTGGAGGCAGAATTGCAGGCCTTGTTGTCAGAGTCACACTTGGATTGCTCGCACAGGACGCCTTTGTAGCCAGCAGGGCAGATGCATCTCTGGTTCTGGTAGCAGGTGCCACCATTCTGGCAAATCAAGAGCTCCTCGTCACAGACATTGGCTGCAAGGCAAAGAGGGAAGAAAGAACATATGGAATTACTGCCAGCTCCCCACAGCCCTGGGGCCTTAGGATTCTGCCCTGTGCGACAATGAAGGCTTATTGCCTTCAATATAATTAAGGGATGTTGAAGGCTACACCACTGGGCTGTCATAGGGAACAAGGTGTAGCTGACAAAGCCTGGGTTAAAACTGTAACTAGAATGTGGACGCTGGCTTTTGCTCAGGTCTTTTTTCAGGTCCTTGGTATTAATCCAATTGCCCTGCAGCACCAGTGCAAGTCTAAGACCCCAGACTCATAGGAACAAACAGTGGTTGTAAACTGTGCAATCACATTACATTAATGGGGCGGAGGAGGGACCTCAGCACTACACAGCCCTATAACCTGGGCTCTCTGCAACTACCTCCAATTGGCAGCTGAGCAGATCTTGCTAAAGACGGCTCCCTCCTGCTGGCTCACTGCATCAGTCCTGTTCTCTGGCCAGGCCGGATCCTGTGCACAGCAGCACATGGCCCTGCCTGGGGACAGCACGCTCTAGCTCATTCCACCGCTGTCAAGTACAGTGGCTTTATGGGTGCTGCTGTGCATTTGTTACCCTGCTATGCCCCGCTGGCCTGCGGTACTTACGAAAACAACCCTGTCTCCAGTAGTAATTGGGAAGGCAGTCATCACACTTGGGCCCGGCAGCACCTTCTCTGCATTCACAGTAGCCGGTCTCATTACAGCGGTCGTGCAACGATCCGATTTGATTGCAGTTACATTCTGTCCAAACACATGCAAGCTAGTTACTACATTCGCCTGTGCACACTGAGCACCAGGGAGCTCTTCATGCCTTTCCGACAGGGCTCTGCACGCTGACAGGACCTTGAGAAGGGCTGGCAGTGTGAGCTGCCCATTTAATCCTTGGCTTTTAGGAATGAACTTTTACAAGTACCCCACCTTGCAGCTCTGGGCTGCCTTTCCAACCACAGCAATTTATACACAGATTCTGCTCTACCTACTATTAAAATGCAGCTTGTTCTGGGCTGGAGGGCAGTAGCCAAGCGCACAGCTCACCAGAAGTGGTGGGAAGGGAGGGCATATTTTGACCAAGCTTCTCCCCTTATGCAATGTACCACTGGCTCAACGTCCACACGCAATCTTGGGTCTCAGGATTGTAGCTGAAGGGTCGACCACACCAAACTACCTGCAAGTCCATTTAATTGCCTCAAAAGTGAAGTGGTTTTTTACTCAGGGCTTGTGGAACGCTGGTGGCAAGGGAGAAGGGAGTCCCTCTTCACTGGATCAAACGGGTCAGACCCAGCAGCAGCACCACTTTGCTCAGGGGGATGGGTGAGCAAGGTGTGTTCTCTTTTTCTCACGGCTGCGTGAATGAGTGCCCAGTGGGGCAACAGCCCCTAGGATCAGTCCAAGGGCGTGCAGCGGGGAATAGCACAGCAAAGCTGCACCTACTACCTCCACTACTGAACCGTGCCATGGGCAGGAATAACCCAGCAAGAGCCAAATAGCTGGGGCCGGAGGCTAGGCTAGCTAAGAGACGTGGGGATAGCATACTGGTTACCTTGAGTTTGCCAGTTCAAATCCAGCTCTCCTTTCTAGGGCAGTGCAAACTTCCCTTATCCTGGGCTATCAATGCACCTTACCTGAGCTGGAGATGAAATATCTCCTTTGGGAGAGACAGAATTATTTAGTCTTTAAGGACAATTAAAGACCTTGGCCTCTCTGCGCTGATTGCTGGCCAGAAACTGGATGGCCACCAGGCTCCGTTCACACAGGCCACCAAACAGCCAGCGACTGGTAACTACTTTCAGCCATTGTTAATTTCAGCCAGCTGTGAAGTAGCGACCTAGTGAAACTCCCCGGAGAGGAGTGTCCACCATGCGCCATAGTGCCCCAGCTACTCACCTATGCACACGTTCTCGTCGTCTAGCTCTGCCGAGCCGTTCCGGTAGAACCCGAGGCGGCAGTGCTGGCAGTGCTGCCCCCTGGTGTTGTGTTTGCAGCTGACGCAAGTCACCACATTCAGGAAGTCAATGTAGCTGCAGCGGTTGGAGTGGCCATAACACTCGCAGTCTGGTGGGGAGAGAAGTCCCTGGCATGCAGTCATTCCCATGGTACAGAATGGCCGTGCGCCATCAGAGGCAATAAGGTAGTGACACGAATCCAGGGGATTCAGAGGGGTTCTCTTTTGACAATACAATTGCCCCCCCTCCCCCAATATGGAGACAGACAGCTGGGTTGGTTGAAGGCCTCTGCTGGCATGTGGGTGATCAGGGTTTGAGAGTAACTACCCTGCTCTCACTGCAGGAAAAGGCTGTTTTTAAGGCCTTGTTCCTAAAGTGTAGATGCGTACACACCCTTCTGAGCCGCACCCTAGCAGTTTTATTTCCAGGAACAAGGTTTTAATCAGGGTGACTAGTGAGAGCTTTTGTTCTCCATTGACACACAAGGGGATAAGATGGCTAGAAATGTCTGTCTTACTGCACTGGCAGCGTTATGGCTCAGGGTGACAAGTTTGCCTGGGGTGCTTGAAGGGATAATGGGGAGCAGATTGGCACAAGAGACTGAGAGGAGCCAATGTGTGTGTAGTTCACATTGCTAGTTCCACCCTGGGTCAACGCTCTGCTGTCACAGGCAGCGTTCATGCGTCTCTAGTCACCAGCAGCAGAATAAAGAGGCCGAAAGGAGCAGAAGGTGTAGTAGAAACAGGCCCAACAGGACCAGATCTGACCTTTCCCAGTAGTTGGGGGATTCTGGAGATTTGGTTCAAACCCATCTTGACTGTTAGTGTAACAAAAAGAATGGCAGGGAGACCGAATGCAAGTGACACAAGCTGCCATGCACATGGAGGGGAGGGGAGGTTTATGGGGAAGGGGAGTGAGATCTGCTTCTATGAAAGAGCCAGGCAGGGTTTTCCCCCACAGTTCACAGTGCCTTTGAGATGAATTGTGACTGAATTGTAAACACTGAATTTCAATGAAATAAATTTTGCCTGCTCAGTTAATGTTCAAGGAATCTTCTAATTGGGTATTGCTGGCTGTTGTAGGTGTGTGAAGGTTATTTTATCATAAGGATTCTTTCTTATAATGATAAATAACAGATGTATTCAGAGACAAGTGTAACTGCTAGTCTTCTAAGTGTCTGACACCTCCCTGACCCAGGTAGGTGGTGTTTTTGGGTTGTTTTTTTTAAAGGCGAGGAAAATCTTGATCACAGGGTTAGAAAGATCCCTCCAAAGCTTACAGCGTCTTAGTTTCAATTTTCTGTTTTCCCACCAACCATCATTTCTCCCTCTTACCTCTAAATGTTTCAACAGGTGCCACTGGGCCAGAGCCAGATTTGAGCCTGATGAGTTTGGAGATCTTGGAAGCCGCTTGGAAAAATTAAAAACATGCTTTTTCTCATCACTTAACACACATTCACTTCCTACCCTGCGGGAGAGCAGCTCTGGTGCTAGAACAATAATGGAGTAAGCCAAGAACATCACGTTGGCATCGCTGAAATCTATTTCTGCTCAAGACAGCTGGTGGCTTTCTACATTTCTCATGGTTCTCCCCCCCTCCCCTAAAGTTTGGTGTATAAGAAATTCCACCCATAAAAGTGCTCTATTCCACAGAGCGCTCAGTGAAAAGCAGAGTTATTGTTCGTGGATCCTGCCCACCGCTTTACATGTGTGTAGAGGAATGAATCAGGTTAGACAGTCAGGCTATAGCTATACAAGTCTAACCATTTAAAATATCAGTTTCCCATGGACTCCATTTAATGTAGGTCACACCAAATCACATACAAAAAGGGGCTAGCAATTCATGGAATCAGAGACGTGTAGGACTGGAAGGGAGCTCAAGAGGACTTCTAGTCCAGTCCCCTGCACTCAAGGCAGGACTAAGTATTATCTAGCCCAATTACAGCTGCAAGTGCCACTACTCTAAGGCTTGGTACCAGCCAGGGCTCTCATAACAGTACACAAGCTACCACACCACCAGCTAACACACTACAGCAGGCAGTACCTGGCTTCTTTGCATGCTTCTTGCCAGCAGAGTGTGCTGTGTGTCCTGGTTTGCTCTTTGGAGCAGCTGCATGTGAGATAAATAAAAAACTACAGCTCAATGCTCTAGAAGAGAGAGAGAGAATTCCCAACAGCAGTGGAAGGCAAGTAGCCGGCCCCACCGAGAAGGGGACTTACTCGGAGCTATCCCAGCAGAGAGAAACCTTTGCTGCTAACATGCACATTAGAGCAGTACTTCAGTGCATTACCATGGTGATTACATTAGCGGCCTTTGCTTCCAATGAGGGCTAATGGGTTTCAGTGCCTGGGATGCTTTGTCCTTTTTAAACCCTAGCAGGGATGAGACGAGGAGGCTGCCAAACAGGCTTGTTGCCTGGGGTGCTGAGCTATAACAAAGAACCAGGTAATAAAACTTCACACTGCTATGTTCGTTCAAGTGCCCACAATATGCTCAGGGCTGCACAAGGCTGAAGATGACATGTTCTCTTCCCAAGGAGCTTCCAGTGTGAACGCAGCTAAGAGCTGCCTAGCTAAGGAGACCACTTTCCTTTACAAAGATTAAACTTCGCAACACCCCCCAGGCTGTGGGAAAGGGTCAGTTATCCCCCACTTTACAGATGGGGGAACTGAGGCACGGGGGGAAGGTAGTGGTTTGCTGATGTGGGTCAGTGGAAGAGCAAGAGAGAGAAAGTTGGAATCCCAAGGCTGAGTCACCTGTTCTAATCCCTAATTCAGGCACTTGATCCATTTCCTGCCCACCCATTGAAAGCATTCTATGATCCTAACACTCAGAGCTGCAGTTGTCCCATGGATTTGCTGTCCCCTCACTCTGGTGACAGCCTTAAGCAGTGAGTAGCTACGCTGCCTACCTGTCCCATAGGCGTTCATAGGTCAAAGTACCTTCTAAGCTCATGTGCCCCAAGGGGAAAGTTCAACCAGTGCAAAGGTGTCAGGGAGATTCAGGGCCTCATACAGCCCCTCTGCACAGGGATGAATTTTACTCTTCATTTCTGTTTAGGAAGAACAGTCAATCAGCCAGCGAGAGCTGGTGCAGGAGTCCCTGTGAGGTATAGTTTCAACTATGCTTGAAATAGACTTTAAAAGAAAAAACAGATAACTTGTTTCCTGGGGGAAGGGGAAGGAGATGAGACAAGCCTCTTTCATTTGACAGTAAACAGCCTAACCCCTCTCGAATTACAAACTGCTCTCCAGCAAAAAAGCCCCAGCCTCACGCTGTATTTTTCCTGCGCGTAGCGGTTTCATAGCTGGCTTTCATCTGAGGAGTGCAAAGCTCTTTACAAGATCTTCATTAGCAAAGCCTCCCAAAGGCCCTGGTTGTACGGTAGGAGTTTTTAGCTCTCTTTTATGATGGGGAAACCGAGGCACAAGGCAGTTAAGGGACTAGCGCACAATTATATCGTGCATCAGGTGTGGAGCTGGGAATAGGCGCTAGGAGGCCTGATGCCCAATACCTTGTTCTAATCAACAGATCCCCACTCGTTTCCCCCACCCCATTGCTGTGCTTATGACCCTTCAGCCTCCCACCTTGCTAGGGACTAGGGTGAGTGACTGCAGTGCCAGGTAAAATGGCCCAGTGATGGACGCTCAAGAACCCACCAGCAAAGCGACACCAGTGAGCGTTATTTTGTAAGCCAGCGGACGGTGATTGAGTAACACCCCCTACCCCATCCCAGCGGCTGTCAGCGAAAAGGCACGCTGTGCAGCCCTTCATTTCTGCCATCCCTGGAGGGGGGGGTGAGGGGGGAACTGTGTCACTCAGCAGACGTGCTTCTTCTTGAGGGGTTGCGGGGGGGTTGTTTCACTGAGTCGTGCTAGAACGGCATTATCCCCCCTTCCACCCGAGGGCAAGCTCCCACCTTACAGCGCTTCGCAGGCATGTTCCGAACAGCATAGCCTGGGTGCCGCTGCTTAGCGCCTCTCAGCTGCCCTCGCCAAACAGGCAGGTGGAGCCATGCGCCTCCCAGCGCCTTTGGGCTAGATTTAGCTCAGCGGGCTGGAAGGGAGGAGAACACTGCAGGCTGCATCCCTGGCACTGGCCAGGATGCTGTGCCAGTCACAGGCAGGGCCAGCTGCCGGCTTGGGTGGCCAGGCACGGAGGGGCTGACCCAGCCTTCGTAGCCGACCACTGGGCCTCACAGAGCCAAAAGCGTGTGGGGGGCCCCACAACTGCTTGGGTCACAGCCAACCCCAAGCAGGGTCTGCTACCCCACGGGCAGCATCCCAGACTGTAACAATGCGCTGTCCTTGCCCAAATCACAGCCCTGGGCCTGTTCTTAGGCCCAGACGGGCCTTGCCCCGAAGAGCGACTGGCTGTATGATGCCAAGCACGATGGGGCCCCAGCCTGCCTGGGGGATGGTAGGTACTACACAATATACATCATAATAATGAGGCCTTAGTGGCAGGGCACAATTGGCAGGGAACAGAGAGGAAACGGTCAGCCTGCTGGTGAACCCGCTACACTGGTGATGGGGGCTAGTGCTCAGAGAAGGCGGCTGGGAGCCAGCCCCAGCCAGGGGTCCTTCCCCTGCTGTAGCACACCCATGGTGTAAAACGCTGGCAAGTCAATTAAATGCCCTGTGCCTCAGTTTCCGCAACGGCAGCAACTTTCAAGGGAGGACTCACTTGCCTTGCAAAGCACCTGTCGAGCCTAAGGTGGCAGATGCGAGAGCAATGACCGAAAAGGAGCACGCTGCCCGGCCGGGGTGCTGGGGCCAATGCAGGGTTGCGGCTAGTGGCCCAGTCTCCACTGCTTTACAATACTGCCCTCTGGAGAACAACTATGGGGTTAGCCGGGCGCTGTCAGGCAGCCTGTTTGTTGCAGTGCTTTCAGTGATCATTTGGGCCACGCAGTGAACAAAGCGACAGTCACTGGAGGCTCCCAGGTGCCTCTGCTCCTGAGTTTCGTTACTTCTTGCCGAGGGCCTGAGTTTTCCATCCTGACTCGTTTCAACTGCAGCCCCATCAGTGAAAAGTGAACCCGGCAGGCAGCCCAAGCTATTGTTAGCCCTTAGGCAGCTGCCAGCCCTTGAACAGGTGGGCTGTTTG